CTAATCTGCCCATGATCTCTACCCAGTGCTCTCCCCGCCGTGATGGACAGTCCCCCTCAAAGCATTAGCCTAACAAACCTTTCTCACCCAAGATGCTTCGTTCAGGTATTTGGTCAGAGTAATGTAAAAATTAACACATAAATAAAATGTCCCATTCTCCCTTGACAATTATGACTCAAATAAAACTCTAAGATTCCCTCAGAGAGTAAGATGTTCTGACTTTGGCCAGCTCCACATTAATTTGAATAGAATAAACCAGGACGACTATATTCAAAGAAGAGCAAAGGGGACCTGTTGAAATTACTCCCCACTACCAGAGAGTCAGTTACATCTGCAGGACAGCAGGAGCACCAGCTGTGTTAAATGGCTACAGAACCCGGAGGCAGGCAAAAAAGGAGGCTCAGGTCAGACGCTGAAAGTAGGAACGTGGACACTTACGCTAGACAGTGCCTGCAAGCGCTAGCCACAACAGTACCCAGTACCCACGTGGTCATCACTCCTGAATCATTATTAGGACTTGAGTCTGGTGAGACAGCCAGATTTCCGAGTTGTCCTGGGGTGGGCACAGTGGGGAAGAAGGAGTACCCCTGAGTGCATCCTCCACTCTTCCCCTAGCCACCCCAGTGAGCAGCATCAGCATGGTGCACGCAAAAACCGACTACCCAACAGGGAACACAGACTGGAGTTTCCCAAGTAAGAATCCTCCAGCAACTGACCCCGATCCCTTCACCACCGCTCAGTCATCCTTTCTGTACTAAGTACCTCTCTCAGGCCCTATTGACCTGTAGCCTGGGTCCTAATCACCTGATCCAGAGGCTGCATGGTAAGGGTGACCTCTAGTGGCTAAGACACACCCCAGAACTTGACACCTATCGCCCTGGGCTATTCCACAAATCCCACCACCTCTTAAAGGCTGCTATCACGAGTGGATTGTTTCAGAGTGGTTTGTCTGTCTGTCTGTTTTGGAGGGCTGAATAATCTCCACTTGGTCTTCCTCTTCACTGAGAATGTAGAAATCTGGAAGCTGTCACCGGCAACCCACCTTCCGCTATCAGCTCTTTTGTTTTGCCTTTGCACTGAGCAGGTAGCTATGAAAACAGCCTCCCCTTGTCTGTTGTTTCTTCTGACCCTGAGTGGTTTTTTATTCAACACTGTGTGAATGCTAAAGCATACATAAATCTTGAGGAACAAAGTAGGTTAGATAAAGATTAAATGTGACTACATCAAAAATCTTTGTAAAGCCCATGTGACACCTTCCATAAAGACAGGTTCTATAGATCAACTGAGGAAACAGGCTTCTGATAAGGGTCTGGGGGAGACTCAGTGTTGGTCTCCACCACAGTTACCAGGCTAGGCATCAGGTCCACGCCTCGCCTTCTGGGGTTTTAACAAGTTATATGTCCCTCCCTTCGAGGGAACAGCCCAGTGTGCACAACATTCCACTGTTCTTATCTGTGAGCGCAGGGACACATTCTGTCTTCTACAGAATCTGGTTTTATTCAACCAATCCACAATCTAGATGAAACTACCTCATTCCATTCTTAAACGCTTGTTTTATAATTATAAAAATAATACTATTACTTTTACTGCATTTTATGGAAATGACATCATTCTTTGTCCGGCATCCTAAAGGCTGGAGAAACACGCTTAGGTTCTCTGTATTCTCCTGCTGTGACTGGACAAAGAAGCTGCAGTGAAAATTGTTATGCTGACCTAAAATCCCTTATCTGCAATTCCAAAGTTGGAACAGCTCAGAACGCTGAATATCTTTCAAATGTTTGGCACACTCCTTTGGCAGCTAAACTCCAGCTGAGCTGCTGCGAGGCTATTTATAGTTTTATAGTGCTTTAATGTGAATTCACGCAGCCTTTTCGCTGACACACAACAGCCTTTGATTACAGCTTGTTATCCCAACTCCCTCCAGGGCAGTTAATAATACAGATTGTGTGCACCAACTTATCCTTCCAACGTACAAGCAATTTTAATTTTTGAAGCATATTAGCACCAAGGGTTTCCAAAAGGTGACAGTAACCCTGACACTCTATGCGTTTGAGTTATATCTTTAGGATACACTTAGAAAGGCTGCATTGCTGAAGGCTCATGCCCTTTAACTTCTGATAAACACTGGCAAATTGTCCTTCAGGCGTTAACTTGCAAGGACAGACAACAATGGTATGAGAAGGAAGCATATTCATTAGTGTAACATAATGTTTTAAAATTAGAAAAACATAAGAGAGCCTCAGTAAACTCTAGCTTGGTATTATGAGTATTATTCCAAATTAAGATAAATTGTAGCTTTTTAAAATTTTGGCAGAATAAAAAAAATCAACTGAGCCAACCAAAATAGCATGATTCTTTTACTCATATAAACACTTGTTCGATCAATTGTTCATATATTTATCAAGAGCCTCATAAATGCCAGCCATTGATTGAACTATAAATATGAGTCAGAACAACAAAAGGTCTTGGAGCTGGTCCTTTGGTATGTCAAAGGGCAATAAGCAAGAGAAACAAGTACAAATTTTAGATAAATAAATGATGTTTAGACAAGAGCTTCATTATTTATAATATAGATAATATCCCTTATATTCAAAGGTTGAAAATCAAACAGGAAATGGTAAGATACATGAACACACAGCTTGACACAAAAATAGGTGACTTCTAAAGCATGCTCCATCAATACAAGGAAAATAAAAGTAATTCAACACTGGTATAGATCTCTCAGAGTAAAGGCTTCATATGTGGCTGGGCTCCTATAAGTTGGATGGGAGGGTGCACTCCAGGTTAGCTTGGAGAGGAGCAGGAAAAGGAACCTGAGCAGCAGCCTGCTCCTAGATGCCTATCAGGAGGCTTTTAGGGTAAGGAGTGCATTTGGTGATATGCACAGATTTTAGTTTTATCACAACTTTATACTCTTCCTCCCCCCACAAATTAATGTTTTTGTAGTTTGGGATTCTGTTTTTAAGATTTTTTATGTGTATGAGTATTTTGCCTGCATGTATATCTGTGCACCACTTGTGTCTGGTGCCCACAGAAGCCAGAGAGAACACAGGGTCCCCTGGAACTTAAGATGATCGTGAGCTACCATGTGTGCTGGGAATGAATCTGGGTTTCCTGGGAAAGCAGTCAGAGCTCTTAAGTGCTGAGCCATCTCTCCAGCCCTCAGGTAAATGTTTCATTTTGCTTTTCAGAAGGTTGATAAGGATGGTAAAACCTGAGGTCCATGATGAAATGTTAGATTTGATCAACTATCAAAGACCTCATTGAGGCATAAAGAAAACAAAACAGCACCAACTAAAAGCTTCAGTTGACAACTATCATCTACAGCGTGCCTACCCAGGGATCACCTACGACGAGAAGATGGACTCCACAGCCCTGAATTCAATGTGCCCCAGCATGCAAAACAAATAATACAAATTAACAATAAAATTCATCAAAATTTTGCAATAACTAAAACCAGAAATGGACACAGAACAAGAAAAACTGACTGAACACAGGAAATTGTAACAGAAACAAAGACTGATAGGTAGATGAGAAACACTGCTTTCAACAGAGTGGTGTGGCCTTCCCACACGACACCTGCCGGGAAAGCAGCCATGAACTCTGTAAAAGGTACAAAGAGAGCAATCCCCAGTGTTCTAAGGAGGAAATACGAGCAGGCATGGTGTGAAGGAAAATCCACAGACTGCTCCAGGCAGATCAGATCCTGGGCCATAAACAGAACTAGGACTCAATGCACTCTGACTATACCAAGCTGAAACTAGAAAAGCCCAACAGACTATACCTAGAAGCCAGTAGCAGCTCTTACAATAATTATTTACCGCCACGTATACAGGTGTTTTGTCTGCATATATGCCTATGCATCTTATGCATATCTGGTGTACAAGAGGCCAGAGGAGGGCATTGGATCCCCTGGAACTGGAGTAACATATCTTTGAGAGCCACCAGGTTAAGCAGGGAATCAAACCTGCGTCCTCAGGACTCTCAACCACTGAGCCATCTCCCCAGCCAAGTACCAACCTTTTAAAGCTCTAAAAGTATCAACATTAAATAACTTCCAATAATTCATTAAAGGAAACCTCAACAGAAAGTAATAAAATAATCTAGGGCTAACAGGAAGAAAATAATAGGTAGCATGTCAGCAAACATGAAATCCAGTTATACCGGGCTGAGAGGGATATTTCTGTAATAAATGCTTATAATTAAACACTTACACCAGCCATGAAGAAAAGCTTTTAAATAAGTAACCTGTTTTTTTTTTTTAAAAAAAAGAAGATAATTAAAACAAGCAGAGCTAAAATCTCTAAGGAAAATATGTAAGAAACTGGAGAGAAAAAAATCAGTGAGGCAGAAACATGGTGCTCTGAAAACACAGCAAAATGGAAAACCTCCTGCACCACAGACAATGAAGAGATTATCAGTATCAAGAATAAACCAGAGGAATTACTAATCCAACTGGTGAAAAGAAATGAATAACTTGCTGTTCGTAAGGTGACAACACTGGAAAAGGCCACATTTTTCCAAACTCACCAATAACCCAAGCCCAAACTACTCCACTCTCTCGAGGCCAGTTTAGATTATGACTACCCAGCCCCAGGGCCTAGAACTCTCCCCATTCCATCCTGCAGTACCCTATGCTGTCTCCTGGAAATGCTTGGGGAACAGAACCGACTGTCAGAAGGACCGTGGTCAGTCAGCGCCCTTCACGGGGGTGGGGGTGGGGTGGGGTCTGAACCCCCACGCTCTGGGTTTCTGATCTCTAGGGAACATCCTCATTCTGCTGACGGTCTACACAGATCGTCAATCCCTCTTCACTGCAAACCCGTGAGCAACAGAGCAAAGAGGTTTCAGTTCACACGTGAGAAATGTGAGTTCACCATGTAGAAGGAGCCTTTTCCAAATGTGAGTTCTGAGTGGATGAAAGCGAAGAAAGAACAGCCCCCATGCTAAGCTCCACCCTCCTTTCCCGACGGTGGGGGAGGGGCAGGGCGTGCACTCATTCTCACCTGCATCTTTACAAAAAATCTTGGTCAACAAAATCAAATTTTCTTAGCACAAGCTGTAGGGAAATTATATTAATATATCATTTTTGACTTTTATTCAAAAATTTTACTGGCTTTCTTATATCCCAAGTAACAGAATGGCTTTATTTATGATAAAAATATCTAGTCATCTTTAGTATTCTGGCTCATACCAAAGGATGCTCAGGTGTGGCTCTTTCAGTTTTACAGAGAAAAGGATTTGGAAAACTCATCATCTGACACACACAAATGAACTATTTCTTTCTCCTTCCACTGTGCACCAGAGGCCGGCACTAGGCCTCAAAGCAGTGTCTCCGACTTTTCTGTTTTGACATTTCATTGAAACGTGAATAAATAATTTTTGCTATAAATTTAATTCCGGTGAAATACAACCATGAAGATAAGCTCTTCATAACAAACACATCTGCCCACGTTACTGAAGACCAGGCTCACCGAGGCCTCCACTCCCTGATAAAAAAACAAAATGCTTCGAAAGAAAAGAATTAATGCGCATGGCCCAAAGTGGTCACGCTTTGCTCCTGATACTGACTGTGGGCAGTCACGTGGGGGCTGCTCGGTGGACGATCGTGTAAGATTATCTGAAGCAGCACGTGGAGAAGAAAATAAAGGGGGGGAACAATTATAGAGAAAGGGAAAGGGAAGGGAAGGGAAGGGAAGGGAAGGGAAGGGAAGGGAAGGGAAGGGAAACAAAGGAAAGGAAAGTGGCATTGCCCCCTCCTTGCCAGGACTAAATGGAGGTTGAGGCTGCACCTGAACCCAGTCCCTCAAGTCTCATCAGCTGGCTCCAGGTGACAGAATGCTGTATGCAGATGCTGTGCAGGAAGCCTCTAGCAATTCTGAAAGGACACTGTTCTGGAGGGCATTTATTTGGGTCCTCTACTTTGCCCATCTTTCCTTACGTGTGTGTGCATGCCTGCACACATGTGCACACACAGTCATGGAGATCATTCTGAAAGGTAGGAGAGGAGATCATCATGGCTTATGGTTTACGACAATGGAAAGCCACGTGCCCCGGAAGGTACAGAAGGTACTAGACGCTCAGGAGAATGTCGCTATCAGCTGGGGTGATCCGATTTTTCCATAGTGATCCTAACGCGTTTTTCCAGTTCCAATAAGGTTTGATAAAATTTTTCGGCGGTGTCTTCATCTATGTCCATCTGGAAAACAAGCACAAATAGAAATGACTACAAGAGAAAAATAAAACAAACCACATAGAAGCGAAGGGAGGGCATCCATGAGTTTAACTGGAAGCTAGGAAGGGGCAGAAGGGACCATTCAGGGACCGTTGGGAAATACTGAGGCCATAAATGCTCATGTAAATTCAGCACTCACCAAACCTCCCACTGCCCGCAAAGATATGGAGTGCAAGTGTTTTCCCACAGTCTCCTAGCACCCAAGCAAGGGCTGAAGGAAACGGGAGAGAGGAACTCTAGAGTCTGTAGTGATGTTTCACTTGTATTTTAACAAATAAAGACTGCCTGAAGATCAGAGTAAAACAGCCCCACTGGTCAGCCTCACAGAGCAGGCAGTGGTAACACACACCTTTAATTCCAGTTGCCAGACTAGTTTGCCATAGAAACAGAGAGGTAGTGGTGCACGCCCTTAATCCCAGCCCTAGAGAAGACTGTAATACGGGAGGAGACTGCCCTCACACAGTCTCATTCTGAGATTCCTGCCTCCCGCCATTTCGAACTGAGGTAGAGATAAGAGCTAGTGGCTGGCTATTTTGTTTTCCTGACCTTCAGGTTGAACCCCAATATCTGTCTCTGGGTTTTTATTAATCGTGCTACAGGTCTGGATTCCTATAGATGCTCACCCCCTCCAAAGTGCTCCCGTGTGTAAGAAATAGGAGATTCTATCTCAAGTCACTATTCTTTGCATTCTTGTTCTTCCTGCAGAAAATCTTATCTTATCAGGACAAAAAGAACCACTTTCAGCTGCTACAATCAGGCTATCTTTTTTTCCAAGTCAGTGAAAGAGGATCGTCTTAAAACTGAAAGACTAAGGATTAAGGAAACTTGTTAACAATTTGGATGTAACATTTATCCACATTTAATGATGTTAGTTCTTCATTTTGAAACTGGAGATGTTACAGAACTCGCCTGTGCAATCTCACCTTTTTTTTTTAATTAAATTCCTTCCTCAACAATTCTGCGTCTTTATTACACTCATCCCCACTCTCTCTTATGCCCCCACCCCACCCCTCCCTCTTCCTGCTTTCATGTAGTTTTGTCTTTTCGTTGTGACAAACTGGGTTTAAGGGTGGTCCACAAATGCCTGGGTGAGGAGGTCACCACAGCACGGAGGCTCATGGACACACCACTGATGACAATGACCTGCCCTCCTCCAAGATCTGTCCCTAGTTCCCCCTATCAGTTAGAAGAGGGGAGAGCAGATTTCTCCCAGTGAATCAAAAGCTAAAATATTTTCTCCAATGAATTTCATAGAAAATTATATGAAATGCCTGGGTTTGTAAAATTAAACATTTTCTCCCCCATAAGTAAATCACTACCTGTAAGGTTATAAAATAGCAAATTTAAGTAATTTAAATAAACTCTGAAAGTCCTAAAGTGAGCATATTAAATTGCAACAGAATTTCACAAAATATATCATTTTGGATGTTAAGAATCAGTAGTTAACTCAAATTTGAGTTAAACAAATAAAAACCCAACTCAGAGCAGGGAGCATGGTGGTACTTATCTTCCGTCCAGAAGGCAGACAGCAGAGGCAGGCAGACCTGCGATCTGCTTCTGCAGGTCAACCTAGTTAAGCAGCCAGTTTGTGTGGCTAATTTTATGCCATTGTGACACAAACTATGGTCATTTTGAAAGACGGACCCTCAATGGAGGAAAATGATCCCACAAGATTGGCCTGTGGGACATTTTCTTGGTTGGTGAGGGATTTGGGAGAACCCTGAGAGCAGCGCCATCTCAGGGATGATGGTCTTGGGTGCTATCTTCAGAAAGCACAGTGAGCAAGCCACTGGGAGCAAGCCAGTAAGCAGTTCTGCATGGCCTCTGCCTCTGTGTGTGACTCCAGGCTCCTGCCCTGACTTCTCTCATGAAGGACTGTGATGTGGAAGTATAAGGTGCTTAATAAGCCCTTTCCTCCTCAAGTGGCTTTTGTTGCAGCGTTTATGACAGAACAGAAGCCCTATCTAAGACAGAGTTCCAGGCCAGCCAGAGTAACGTGGTGAGACTCAGTCCTAAAACCAAACAATCATAGAGGGGAGGGAGGGAGGGGAGAGAAGCGAAGGGAAGGAAAGGGGTATTGCCCCCTCCTTGCCAGGACTAAAAGGAGGTTCAGGCTGCACCTGAACCAATCACTCAAGTCTCATCCGCTGGGCTCCAGGTGACAGAGTGTAAATGCAGTAAAGAAGAACTTGGAAACGCCGTCATCAACCACGTCGCCTCTGCACCGCTTAACTGTTTCAACATCTCAAAGCCATGCCTGGGCTAATACGCTGTGGGGAACCCACAAGGGAAGACAGTGCGAAGGGTCAACTCTACCTGCCTGAGAAACCACTTCTCGAAAATGCTCCCAAGTCACTGATATCCAATACACGCTTTCTACGAAAGGCTGCTTTTTACCGGCAGGTGACAGGGGAAGCAGCATTTGAGGCTGGCTGTCACTAGACTCACGCTGCTGCCAAACGGACAGAGGTCACCTACTTGGCTCAATCTAGTTGTATTTTACACCAGTGCATCCTCAGTTCGGGGATGGGAAAAGCAGGCGGCTACAATAAACCTTGCTCGTGACAAAGTTACAGCATGTTCTTGTAGTTCCAAGTAAATATTCTCACTTCCCCCACAATGTAATTTTATATGATTACTTTTAAGATAAGATTTCAAAAGACTAAGCCGGGTGATGGTGGCGCACGCCTTTAATCCCAGCACTCGGGAGGTAGAGACAGGCGGATCTCTGGGAGTTCGAGGCCAGCCTGGTCTACAAGAGCTAGTTCCGGGACCAGCACCAAAGCTACAGAGAAACCGTGTCTCGAAAAACCCAAAAAAATTCAAAAGATGAAATTGATTTTCTCTATTTTACCCGTCTCTTCAAAGCATCTGTCTAACAATGCTGCTAATAATCTCAAACAGAATGCGCATTCCAAGAGATATTACTGTGACAAAGAAAGATGTTCTCTGTTCCATACAACTCAGGATGTATTTATTAAGAGTCTCCATGTGAGGCAGCATACAAGGGAAGCAGGTACAATCCCTCTCACGAAGCTTACATGCTGAGAGAGGCAGCTGAGAGTGAGTGCTACCCAGAACAGGTCTGAGAAATCCCGTAACAGGGCACAGGGCCCAGTCTAGAGAGACACAGAAGACTGAGAAGAAGGTAGGACCTGAAAGATGAGCAGACATCAACAGAAACACAGGTAAGAGCAGCTTAGTGGGAAGAAGATGCTCTGAGACGGGAGGGAGAAGAAAACAATGAAACAGACCCTGAGGACGCCAGAGTGAGGGCTCAGGCACAGAGCTGTGTGGCTGATCTGTCAGCATCATGAGTCCGGAGTATCTGACTGGCAGCATATTCCACATGACAACACAAACCGAATTACCTTTTGGTCCTTGACGTAATTAGTCCCGAAGCCTGTGGTGGAGCTCACGTATTTGGTCAGAGGGTTGAGAGACTCAGGTTTTTGGTGGAAAAGCCACACCTGGAAGGATAAAGCATGTCAGTGACATCGCTCCTGCCCCAAGCAAGTGAGATTTGCCATCGTGAAATCGCAAGAGTCCTCTCAAAAAGCAGCAGCTAATCTAAGGATCTTTGGAAAGTGCTGCCATGTTCTGAAGGGAGAATATAAGGCAGCCTGCTTCACAGTAGACTTTAAGAGCTAACCTAAGCAAAAAAACAAAACAAAACAAAAACAAAACTTCACCCACCTTCTCCCTTAATCCCCATATAAATCCATGTCTCCGACACTGGTTAATTCAGTGTCGTTGTCTGCCCACACCACAGTAAAGCACAGGTCGCTGGGATATTATCAATGAGAAGAGGCACATGTCCACAAGATGTACACAGCACAAAAAGGAAGTCTTCTTTCCTTTCCTATTTTGCAGCCACTTAGCTTACATCTCTGGGAGTAACCCACTCTTGGGAGCAATGCCAAGAAATACCTGCATTGAGAAACACATCCTTCTCTCTTAAATGGAAGTATAACACACAGAGGTTTTCTCTTGAACAACAAACCTGAAAATTTTCCAATCTGTGTATACTGAGCTGTTTTGTTGGCTTCTGAAAGCACAGCATCCCATCCTGGGCATGAGCTGTAACTAGTATGTTCAGCTTTTAATTAAAGGATATATGCAGCAGACTGCAGTCTCTATGATCACAAACTAAACCACGATGGATGATGAGTACATCTACAGAAGAAATGCCAAAGATGGAAGTTCTTAGTGAAGGGTATGCGCCTTTAATACTTGGCTCACCTTGCCCGTGAGTTCTCCACAGCTCCTACTTCCTTATCACCAGCCACCACAGCCCTGGATCAGATGTCCTAAGCTTTGCTCATCTGAGCTGAGCTCTGAATTATAGATTGAATTTGCACTTCTCTCAGCATCACTGTGATGAAGAATCTTTTCACATGACTGAGAATGTTCAGAATCTTATGTCTAACTTTTTTGCCTGTGACTCCGACAAGTGCTGTCTTCCCTTTGCTGGGAGTCTCAATTTACTAAGAAAATATTTACCTTGATCTAAGACAGATGCTTGTATTCTGCCTTGTGCTTTATTTATAGTGGACTTTGGGACCACACAAAGTTTATTTTAATTTCCACTCTTTTAGAGTGTCCACACTTAGATAAGTCTTTGCATTCTGAAATGTCCCATAAATTCCCCATATTTTCTTCTAAGAATTTTAGGCTTTAATTTTGACATATAAACTCCTTCACCTATCTAGAACATTATTTTGGTGGAAGGCAGGGAATGATGATCATAATCTCCCTTTTGGCTACATCCTTGCTAAAAAGGGCATCTTTTCCCTCCAACTCTGATTATTAACACACACTAAATCTCTGTACATTTAAGGGCCAATTTCTAAACTTCCTATTCCATCCCACTGAGCCATCAGATTGTATTTGTATTGATAAAGATCTAATGAGTCTCTGCAATGCCCCTGCTTCCATTCACTGCTCTGGTTCTTATTTTATATAAAATAAATGGATGAAAAACATGCTCGAGGGTTCCAAGCCAGGAACCAGAGAACTTGGATCTGAATGGTAACCATAATTCTGACATCCTCATATTTGGCCTATGCCTTGGCTCAAGCTCAAACTCCCCTCCTGAGGAGGCAAAACTTACACAGCCATTGAGGGAGACCCTAACTGCCCACGTGATGCCCTACCATCCCATCATCGGTGGATGATGTTTGGGATGATGCCCTTCTACTCACGTACATTTCAGAAAATTATAGCAAGATCACCATGGATTTTAACATTTATTTTTATTCTATGGGTATTTTTCCTGCATATATGTATATGCCTACAGAGGTATCAGAACTCTTGGAAGTGGAGCTACAGTTGTGAGCTGCCATATGAGTGCTGGGTCCTCAACAAGGCCAGCAGTACTCACCACTGAGCTGTTTCTCCAGTCCTTCATAATGAAGTTTTTCAACTGCAACACTAGGATCCTGGTGCTCATCCTATCCAAATTGCCTGGTCCCTCAGAGCCCAGATCTAGCTTCACTCTAATTAATGTCAGTTCTGACGACCTCACTCCCAGTGGGTCCCATGTTCCCCACCCAATGACAAGATGCCTTGCTTCCTTGCCTATTATATGGATTCATTACTTTCACAAACTTAACTCTAAGCTACTTAGTATCAGAGGATTTTTCTCTTCTAAATATATCCCACACCACTGAAGCTCAGAACATATGTGACCCCAGACACAGATGTACAGAATGAGAAATCCCTCAAGGACTGCACACTAATGCTTCTTTTATCTTGGGATCTATATCAATACCGTCTAAAAGCACTTGTTTTCACGGTTATTTTGTATCTACACAAAAACCTATTTGATCCATCCCCTTTATGTTTCCCCCAAACTCAATTTGGTCAAGATTTAAGAAGCAGTCAAGCTGGACGCCACAGTACTAGCCCTCAAGTTTCTAGGATGAAAGTCAGGACTCAGTAGATTGAGTGCCACCAGTGAGAACTAAGACAACAGGAATCCAATCAGAAGGCATGAAGCGCAGATGGCAAGTCTCTTCTTGGGTGAGAATTCTGAACCACAAGTAGAGGTTGTCTGTGGAGCTCTGGGGTTCTGAGTGTAATATACAAGAAAATACAACTATAGCTCAACAGCAGCTGTCCTGGACGAGGAAACACACACAGCCCACCGTTAGGCACCATTCAAGGAAATCCTATTTTCCTAATAAGATCCTCTTATACCTTGATCCTCTCGTACCAAGATAGGAAGAAAAATCTTTACGTTTTTTTCTTTAGATGTATTTTATGTGGATGAGTGTTTTACTTGCATACACGTCTGGACCACGCGCATACCAGATGCCTATGGAGGTCAGAAAAAAATGTTGGAGCTCCTGAAACTGGAGTTAAAGACAGTTATGCCACATGGGTGTTGAGAATCGAAGCGGGTATCTAAAGAACATGTGTTCTTAACCACAGAGCCACCTGCTGGCTCCAGGAAGGAAACTCGTTAGGTGACAAGAGGGTTTGTTGCCTCGATGTTTATCCCACAAGGCACACCTCCCCGATGGGAACTCATTCACGAGTCACCTCCTTGCTTTAACTGACTCGACAGTGTCCTGCCACCTGTCCTGAGGCTCTTGGTGCAGCTTGCTTCTATAGAAGTTTGTTGTCTATAGTCAGGTATCTAACATCATAGCAGACGTTAACTGTCAAACTTCTGATATCTTGTGTGTAACACAATACTTACCTTAGTCCCTAATGGAACTTACTTGTCCACAGAGCTTGTTCCCTTCGAGCAGTGGTTCTCAACATTCCTAAAGCTGCAATCCTTTAATAATACAGGTCCTCATATTGTGGTGACCCCCAACCATAAAATTATTTCGTTGCTACTTCATAACTCTAATTTTGCGACTGTTATGAATTCTAATGTAAATATTTGATGTGTGACCCCTGGGAAACAGTCATTAGATCCCAAAGGGATCGCAACTCAGAAGCTGAGAATCACCGCCTCACAGCCTTTTACCCAGACACTGCTCACTGCCATCAGGAACGTGCACCCTTCCGTCACTAAGCCATGTTGTAGACTATGAGACTCTAGTAACATACCAGCGCTTCTGCTCCATTGTACGGTGTCAGAGTGAAAGCGTTTGCAAAAAAGCGAATCTGACGAAAAGAAAACAATGGTTGTTACGAGGCTATTTAGAGCAGTAACAAAGAGTAAGCTTTTCTCATTTAGATTCAAGAAAGAAAATTTGCATTTATGATTACTGTATATCAAAAACGTCAAGCCGAACAGAAGTCTGTCACTCCGAGTTGAATTCTTAATATTTCAGAACCCAGAATTAAAAGAAAAAAATCAATGTTTACCACTTACCAGCCATAACAGCGGCAAGAGCAATGTCCACACAAAGGGCGGCAGAATTCCATATGTCAGATTGGTCAGTACTACGCCTGGGCACATCACACTGGAGTACAGACCCTGGGAACACAGGAGAGTCGTCTGAGATTGTCATTCAATGCATACTGACTCAGTTCACGGATGCCCGTTAATAAAAGACACACACATAAGCCGGGAAAACAGGGAATGGAAGGTTTGCACTCTCATGTGTCCCTGTAGCTTAGTAGGGCCATTTAAGTCTAAAATCACTTCCTAGGACCAGGAAGCAAAGGTTATTAGCAAGATGAAGTCTGTTCTCAAGACACTTATAGTTTAAAGAAGAGCCAGTCTTAATGATGGGAAAGGAAAGTGGGGCCTGACTACAAAGATTTTCTATTATTGGTTTAATTAAAGATCGATTCGTCACCCCCAATAAGTATATAATGGGCTTACTGAGTTTAATTCTTGCCTTCAACTTGCTTCTGATTAATTAAATACAGTTGCTAAATTTAAAATTATGCTGTTTCCCTAAAGCAGAGGTTCTCAATCTGTGGGTTACAATCCTTATGGCAAACTTCTACCTCAAAAAAATTTATAATACAAGAAATAACAGTAACAAAACTACAGTTATGAAGTAGCAACAAAAATAATTTTATGGTTGGGGGTCATCACAACATGATAACTATATTAAAAGGGTCACAGCACACTTGGGAGGCAGAGGCAAGTGGATCTTTGTGAGTTCGAGGCCAGCCTGGTCTACAAGAGCTAGTTCCAGGACAGACTCCAAAGCTACAGAGAAACCCTGTCTCGAAAAAAACAATAAATAAATCAATCAATCAATAAATAAATAAATAAATAAATAAAAGGGTCATAGCATTAGGACAGTTTAGAACCACTGACCTATAGGAACATAGCTGAGTTGGACACTCTTGGCATAAGGAGGAACAAAGATCTTCAACTCAAGATCTCTAGCCAGGTCCTGAGTGAAGGACTGATCACTATGTAAGGATCTATCGTATACTTGTGTGTATATGTTTACATTTATACACACACAAACATATATATGACAATATATATGTCTCTATAAAGAAAGCCTCAGTTAATACAGGGATTAAGGTAATAAGAATTACCCTGTGCCAACCATAGTAAGCCCTACAGCTCTGTAATTAATTTTATTACATTTTATATTATTGTTAGAGTGACTAATTTAACTCATTCTTGCAACTTTTAATCTCGTTCTCTCTCTTTCCTTTTAAATAAAAAGTAGAAAATGACCATAAAAAGTAGCTCATTCCTGTAATTCTAGCCCTTGGAAAGAGGCAGAATTTTGAATTTGAGGCTCACATAAACTACATAACAGTCCAAGGCCAGTCAAAGTTACATAGTGACACCTTGTCTCAAAAGGGAAGCTGGGTTGCTCTAGGGTTGTAGCTCAGTTGACAGACTGCTTGCCTGGCATGTAGAAAATCAGGTGTGATGGTGTTTGAGGCCAGCCTGGAATATACAAGATGCTGAAGAAAGAGAGACAGAAAGATAAAACAGAAACCTGTCACCAGAGAGCTGAGCTCAAGTGAAATGGCACCAAATACAAAGCCCCAGGTTTGATCCCCAACACCAAAAAAACTAAAATAATGATTAATTTGTTGAAAAGGTAAGTCAAAAGTATGGAAAATATCATTAGAAAGGCTTCAAATGGAATCCACCAATGTAATTCTTTCTAATTCTTGCTTGGGAATGCTGAAAAAAGAAAAATCATGGGCTGAAAACAAATCTGACAGACTTTAAGACAGCTTCATCAACTTAATCACTCTCCCTCTTTCTTCAAAAAGATAAAATTCCACACCTTACTTGCCAACTAGAATGTAAATAAAATCCCAGAGCTTTTTATGAAAAACAGAACAGAGTCAGCTTGACCCCGCCTTCTGAAAAGGGAGAACCAACAGGATTTGGACAGGTTTTAAAGGTCTCAAAAATGCTAGAAGGAAATGCATAGTTGGACCAACACACGAACTCCGAGCTGCAATGAAAACCAGAAAATGCCCATGGGAAAGACAAGAATTCCTGTTAAGATTCTGGACCTGGGCAATCGGTTGATCCACGGCAGCAGGGATTTCCAGGTGGCTGTGGTCAGTAGAAGCAGCAGGACCGATAAGGTTATTTCCCCCTTTCTATACTCTGTAACCTTACAGAAACAGAGCAGAATCTTATCATGACCTTCCAGAAGGTTTATGACATCTGGCTGCCTTTCAGTCACTGGCATGACAGAGGCTAAAAGGCGTGAGGCTTAGCAGGGAAAAAGGGTAGCCTTGAGCTCTACTGTAAGCGCTGCCATTCACAAGTCATGTGACCTTCGAGCACATGACTCCTCACAAACTTAAGAGTTCTCTTCTGAAAACTGGAAGACTGAAAGCCACTCAACTGCAGAGGGGTGACATTCAATGACATCACAGGAGGAGAGTACAGCACTGGAAGTGGTCAAGGGCCGTCTGTTAGCAGAGGCCAGCGTTCCTGAAGAATACAGCCTGGTAAACAATCTGCACCTCCCTAAGAGGACAGGAGCTGTTTATCCCTCCCCTGTAGCTTTCACTATAAGAGTTAGGGGAAGCCAGCCACGCTCTAGAAATAGCGGCTCTGATGGTTAACTTCTGGGTCTCTGAGACCAGCCTTGCCTTCTGGTTGAAATTCCTGTTCAAAGCCACATTCAGAAGGTCAGTAGCGTATTTGGAGGAGCTGTAGGGTTCCGGGCCTTTGCTGTGCTGGATATCCTCAAGGCTGAAGTTAGATTTCTTGGCATTACGAGAAGAGGTCCAGATGAGCTGGGAGGGGCTGTCGCTGTGGCAGAGAAGGGGTTCCAGTTCCCGGATCTGAGTGAAGAAGACACAGAATAAAAAAGCTTCACAATCCACTGAGGGGCACATGCTAACAATTTAAAACACCCGATAAGACACCCAAGCCAGGTGATCAGGCCAACAAGGAAAGGCCATAAACTTTGTCATCGTCATTCTGAGCCAGGCTGTCACTATGCTCTACACTATGCTCCACGCACTGCATCCACAGGCTGGCTCTGAACTCTCCATCTTCCTGCCTCCGTCTCCCAAGTGCTGGGATTATGAACACGTGCCAAACATGCCTAACCTTGGAATCTGTACTCTTGATATGAGGTGATGAGAAAGGAATTTATATTTACAGTCTTGCCAAAAACATTCTGCAGACTAACCATGAGCTAAACATCAGGAAATCTGAGAGACAGTCTGTGAAACACCTGGGTAGCAAGCCCATGAAGTGTGAGGTCCTCAAAAACAAGGCAAGACTGTGAAACTCCCACAACAAAGATCCTAAGGGACCTTGGCTATAAAATGGATGTATGTGGTGCCCTGGATCGAATCCCAGAGCTGATAGTGAGACTTTAGAAAACTGGCAACTTAAGTTAGTACAGACTTACTTAATAACATACCAGTACTGTACCATTTATTCTGACAAATGTACCATACTGACACAAAATGTTAATAAGAGAAACTGAATACAGGATGCACAAGAACTCGCTGTACTATCTTTGCAAAAGTTTTGTAAATCTACAACTACTGGAAAACATTAGTTCATTAGAGAAAAATCTACCAACAAAGCTTCCAGATGTGCCCCATGCGCAGTGGACAAATGAGCAGAAAACAATTGGGAAGAACTTCATAGATAAAACCAAGTCCCACTCCTCAGCAGCAAGACCTCGCTGAACCTGGAGCTCACAGAAAGAATCCCCACTCTTTACCACCACGATGGGTGCCAGCTCAGCATTCTTACATGCTAATCAAACCAGCAATGGATCTGTTTGTTCATTTACACGACCCCTAAATTCAGGTTTGTGTTTCATGAACTGCGGTCAGATTCCTAAACCTAACTGAAGTAGAAGGCACTGCAATCACAGCTTTAGAATCTGGTAAGTGTGTTCTGACACACACGCACCCCTCCCCAGGATAACATGTCTGCCTGCAGAAAGTAGGACGTCTGTGACAACTGCCCCATGACCACAGCTCTCATTTGTTTTCCTAACAATTTAACTCTATAAACCATATATACATCAAAACTTGAGACTATCAATATTATTAATGGATTAATTCTCTGTCATTACCTCTTTTTATTTCAATATTGTTTGTTTGCTTGTTTGCTTGCTTTGAGAAAGGGGCTCACACTGTAGCCCCAGATGGCCTCAAGCTTGCAGCAATCCTCCTATCTCAGCCTAAGCGTTGGGATACAGGTGTGAGTCATTACTTCTCAATTACTGTGCAAGCTGTCCCATAAGAGTGAGCCAGAGGCAACCTCACAGAACACACTAGATAAGTCACACATCTCATGCTGAATCTGCTATATGTGCCTAGAATTGTACTTTCAGGTATGGGCTCTTAAGAAGAAACCATGATAATGAAAAGCCAACTCTGCATCAGTGTCTAATGACAGCATGCTGGCTATCCCGGGCTACCTGTGTCTAACAACAGCACACTGGCTATCCCGGGCTGTGTCTAATGACAACATGCTGGCTATCCCAGGCTATCTATCTGTGTCTAACGACAGCATGCTGGCTATCCCAGGCTATCTGTGTCTAATGACAACATGCTGGCTATCCCAGGCTATCTGTGTCTAATGACAGCATACTGGCTATCCCAGGCTATCTGTGTCTAATGACAGCATACTGGCTATCCCAGGCTACCTGTGTCTAATGACAACATGCTGGCTATTCTGGGCTATCTGTGTCTAAGGACAGCATTCTGTCTATCCTAGCCTATCTGATGCCAAGCCCAGTTTTTAGAACTACTTAGGGCAGAACTAATGTGCTTTTTCTGCTGTTATACATGTCATTTCCAATAGGTGACTGGGGTCTGGTAATCTGCTTCCTCTGTTCTATAGGTAAGCAACATTTCCAGAGGCCAGCAGACAGACTTCATTACTCAAAGATTTCATGGTAACCAGACTTTAAGGAGCCTTCACAAAACAGTCACATGTCTATTCACATTGTCGCGATCACAATGTGAATGTGATGGAATTAGTAGGACCCAAGCCTTTTTTTTTTTTTTTTTTTTTTTTTACCAGGATAAAGTGGCCAAAGAGATTTGTTTCAAACACCTCCTGGAACCCATCAGCAGTGACCTTGTCATTCTGGGTCAACAGTCCTTCCGCTGTGGAGAACATATGAACCACATTTCTGAAACAGCAGAAGACAGCGGGGTGACATTTAATGCTCCTTTAACTGAAAACATTAAAGATGTTACACACACACAGACACACAGACCTTCTTTGAAATTATAATGACAAAATACCAACTTCTTGGACATGTGTGAGTATTAAATGAGTTACTAAATGCTTTTCCCCCCACTGCACCAATTCATGGATGTACTTATCATGCCTGTCTGCTCCCACTACCCAATCAGATTACATGTAAATTATTCTTGGGCAATCACAGCTACGCCAATGAGAAAAGGTCTCCAGCCATGTCAAGTGTGTTTGATTACTGAAAAAGTTAAGCAGGTTGTCTTTTTCACTAGGAATTCTAGAAGCATCAAACAGCTTAGTAGTGGGATCTGTGCATGTTTCGTCTTCATGGAAGAAAAGTGAAGAGAAGGTAAACACGAAGCCCACATCAATGAATAAACCTCTACGAATAAACGCACTGGGTTGCAAACCAGACTTATTTCTGACTCTGGTTCATGGCTAGATAGCTTTGAAAGCCACTAGACTCGTGCGGATTGAGAGTCTCTCAGGCAGACATGCGTTGTCCGCATCCTCTCAGCCTACTGGCCAGAGTAGCTGGCACGTAGCTAGGTATCTTCTGATGCAGGAGGCTGTCTAAGAATGCCACATATCTAGGACCGTTCCGCCAGCAGCACATTCAGCCAAATCAAACGCTGATGGCATGATCCATCTGACAATATGGAATGTTCCAGAGTCTTAGAACATTATAAAAATCATGACAACGTGCGGAGTTCTCCACAAAGACGAGTACTTGACGTGCCTACTATGGATCAACTCCTCCTGTCCAGGTATCTTCATCCTCCTCAGCGTCCCCTCACTCAACAAAGGCAAAACCATGGCAGCAGAATGAATACCTTTCTTGCAATCGGTTCACCTAGAACTGTGGTTCTCAACCTTTCCTAATGCTGCGACCCTTTAATACAGTTCTTCATATTGTGGTGACCCCCACCCCACACACACACCATAAAATTATTTTCATTGATACTTCATACATGTAATTTTGCTAGTTATGAATCGTAATGTAAATATCTGATATGCAGGCTATCTGATATGTAACCCCTCTGAAAGGGTTGTTTGAGCTTCCTCCACCCCTGAATGGGTTATAACCCACAGGCTGAGAACCACTGATGTAGAACATAAAAATTACCTTGAAAAGATGCCCAAGAAAAACGCTTTGAAATTTAGTTGGGGATTAGGCATGATCCCAGCATTCAGATATAAGTAGTCTAATCTTTGAAACCTACAAACAAAACACCAAAATGACATTATTAGAAAAGACAAGACAAGAGTGCACTCCTCCCCTAGAATACAGAAGATCCAAGCACAGAAAAACCCTTTCTGAACCAACTAAGATGTCCATGCAGGCTATGAAACACCAGGGTTAAATAGTTCTTTCTCAACAGTTTCTCTAGCCATAGTGAGTATCTTTGCTCTGGGTGGTTTCAATTGGGCTTTCAAGTTAAATTTCTATAGAAAAATCCAACTGTGGCCCACCAATCAGGCACTGAACATCCTCTATCAAACCATCCTCCTCCTCGTCCTCCTTTTACAAAGCTACTGCCCTTCTTCTCGGTTCACATCTTCCATAGCTGACAAGTTAAATTTACATCACGTATAGCAGGCCTGACTGGACCGATCAGCGCCAGAATCTGGATGGCCTGGTATCTACCAAAACAGAAGACCCAAGTGGAAACCAATCAGTGCTCATGGCCAGGGTCTATGTATCATAAACTGATTAATGGCCACTCTCCTACCCTGACACTGTAAATGCCCTGTGGGAATTAGGTATGGTGAAGCTGAGAAACACAAACCTGAGTGAGCTTTTCCAGTTCTGGAACTTCATAAGCTTTAATATAAATGCATCCCTTTGGAAGGAGGATCAAAGCAGGCAGTAGGTGCTCCCATGATACCCAAGCAACACACATGCTCAGAGTATCTCCCAGAACCCTAGGCAGCACACTGTGTCCTCCACGTAATCAAGGACAGATCCACAGCTAATAAAACTGGACGTCTGAAATATATGCTTGGCTGACAATACGGATTGTGCACCTGCATTTCTTGATCATGCTATGTAATAACCATATGGTCCAAACTATTGAAACGACTATTTTAAGTGATGACACTGTTGCCACTATAGCCGCCACTCATCATGGAGGTGAAGCCAGTGGGACCCCAGGTTAATTACTCTATTATCAAACTTTAGTAATAGGAACTTCTTTTCCTAGGCATGGAAAAGCAAGGCTTAGTAAAAATGTGGGAATGAAGCTCTGGCTTCAACCAAACAATGTAATTAGTGTATTCAAAGATGAAAGGATTGCCATAGTGTCTCTATCTAGATAAAAACAGCATCAGTATTTCTTATGGGTTCCAGCCGAACAGAGGACTGTGGGTGGAGAGATCTGGTGTCAGATATAATGATGCATTTGCCCACTGGAAAGGGTACTTCCAAGCTCTCAGGGCTCTGAGGTCATTCTGCACAGATTCCCTCAGCACAACACGTTTTCCAGCCTTACATTTACTTCTCATATGCCTCCCCTTACTTCCCTGTCCTTTCTCATTTGATTAACTGCTATGCGACACTACCGCATCTATCAAAAGGAGACATACTTTTGCTTGATTTCCTTTGCGCCCTGGACCACCGACCGCAGGCTGCTGACATCCATCTGCACAATGCTGACTTGGGCGGAGGGGTGAGAGGCCAGCAGGGCATCACGAACGGCTCCGGCTTTGCTCAGGTTCCTACACGCCAAACACAGGTGAAGCTCCTCGTCTTCTGCCAGCAGCCGACTGCAAAGGGCCAGCCCAATGCCACTGAGGAGACAATTCAGGCACAGGGCGTGAGCTCATTGAAATGGTCTGACATTAAAACATTTCTCTCTGGTTCAGACACCTGACTGTGTCAACATGAGCTTCAACAAGAAGCGTGGGCAGACAGAAAATACCCAAACATCACGTGAAGGAAGAAACCCCCTCATAAGTCACTTGATTAGGCTCACATCTAGTTGTTCCCCTCTAAAATAGTTCAATGACACAGGAAGTAGGGTTTGCGGTACCTGTTGTGTTGGGATTTAATATATCCCAGCAAATGCTGTGAAGAGGACCTTATAGGCTGTTTATTATGTCCCCATTTTCTTGTGCTTTCTAGGTCCCTCAAGGGCGTTCTACCTCCTTTTGGTGTTGTTGCTATTAGGGAGACCGTCAATCCCGAAGAGTGAACAGGGTCGTTTCTGTGCTGCTCTCCTATCCCCCAGGAGAAAGCACAGTAGCATGGCAGGAGGTTGACTCCCTGTCAACTACTAAATCACAGCAGGACAATCAAGAGAAAGAAAAGGCCCTAGGAGCAAGTGACAAAAAGTACGAATACAAATCGGATGGAAAGGAAGACAGAGAAGCAGGGATGAATGAGCATAGCTCACTGAAACCTTAGACACACTAGGTCAGAAAGAGCGATATGAAAAGTGCCCAGCAGATGGGGCCAGTTTCTGGCAGCAATGACATCCTGGGTACTAATAAATTCTCAGGCAGACTGCCAGCAAATCGAACATCAAAATGAGTCTGGAGTTCACATAATCGGGTGGCCCTGCCAGGAGTAGCAAACATATATAGGCCTACTGATCCTTCCTTCAAAAGGGCAGACCTTTAGTATAAATATACAATTGCACATACCACAATGAATAACAAAGAAACACAAGATCAGGCCTGACTTTTGTATGCACCTTCCACTAAAACCAGTTTACCTAAAGGAGAGGACACGCTAACAAAAGCCCAAGAGAAACCCCTCCTACAGTGGCTTAGTTAGCACGGACATAGTTAGATCTGTATGAATTCCTCGAAAATATCAATGTAACCAGGTCGGAGAAAGGTTGGTCGGTTTCATCCTCCACACATTCTTCGTGGACAAATAAGAAGTCTAGTAGGCAACAAAGTAGGGCAAGGGTCAAATGAGCAAGCCTGGAATAGTTACGAACTGGTGACTGCCTTAGGACAAGCTTTAACAGGAAGCGACTGATCGTTCGATATGTTTCTGGGGAGAGTATGCGAGGCGTGCTGCAGGAATGAAATCTCCCATTGTCGTAAAGTTCGTGGAGGCTGACATTTAAACTCCCGGAGTGTAAGGCACACGGCGTGTTTAGGGTTAAAGTAAACTGAGGATACCTACAGTAACTAGTGGAGTCTGGGTCACTGATGGAGGGGATGGCAGAGTCTGAATGAAACCGTCAGGTCCCTTGAGAGCACTCCAGGGCTCAGGATCATTGTCAGGCTGATCAGTAACTGGAGCTCTGGTTTTCCTCTCCACTTCATGTATAATTCAAAGCGCCAGTTACCAAGCACCCACAGGGGCAGGCCTGACCACACCTCTTGGGAGGCCCAGAGAAGGGCAGGGCAGGGTCTCTGTGGAATCCCCAACGAAGTGAGTCCAGAGTCACCGACCTGCGCTTCCCCGCACCCCGGAACTTAGCCTCCGGAGTTCCGTAGGAAGCCTCACCTGCTCGCCCCGGTGATCAAAACCACCTTCGGCATCTTGCACGGCGCGCAGCAGAGTTGATCTGCACCGGCGACCACAGCAGCTCAAGGCCTGGACCACGATCCGCGCCCTTGCGCACCACGGCCAATCAAGGCTCTGCCAGGCCCCACCTCCCTCTTGCGTCATCCGTCTCCGCCTAGGCCAGCCAATTGCAACCCGGCATCCTCTCTCCACGCCGGGGCCTGGTGGGGTGAGATAGGCCGAGGGGCGGAGCCACGTGACACAGGGGTCCTGGCCAATCAAGGCAGCCCCCGCCCCCAGGACTTTTTGCAGGAGGTGTCACCTCGGGGCGGGGTCTTTGCTCTGCGTAGCGAAAGCGGGCGGGCAAAGGTGGAAGCATCACGTGGACGCTGGCAGAGGGTGGGGTGCAGGAACCTAAGTCCAAGGTTGCATCTTAGAATGTGTAGAACCGTCTTCGAGCCTTTTCTAAAGCATAATCTTTGAGAAAAGGAACGTGGATTTTATTGTGTTTTATTTATGTCGAGACACGGGTGAATTAGCAATTTCCAAGCTCTGAATGTGGAATGGAAATGAGAATTTCAGAACTCTTAAAGGAATGTGTGCTGTCATCTCCAGCAGTGCCTGTCAGGCCTCTGTAAAGGGCCTTTTTTTGTCGCCAGGCCATCCCAGATGAGTATTTTGCAGAGAGTGCGGAAGGGGAGGAAGCTAAGTAATGAGGGAGGGAAGGCCAAATGCTTATAAGTTACAACCCCCACTTTTTATTAAGTCTAATTCCTATAAAAGTATCTTGCGCTGCTGTTATAATCCTTATTCCAGTTTTCGCTATTTATGGATGGTTGAAAGTTCCCAGTAACATTGAGTAAAGGTACTAGTACTTATACTTAGTGCGACTAGACAAACTCCATACCTCTTTCTGAGCTGTAGACTGAATAGCTGTGATCCTAAATGATTGAGATGATATTTTCTGGGGTTTGATCTTGATGTTTTGATTCATGATACCAACTAACAGCTAAAATTAAAATGGATTTTTGATCATTTCCTCAAAGATGGTATCTTAACAGTATTTACTAAAAGCTTTGGAGTAAAATTCTTTGTGATCTTGAGATTCTATACCCAAAGGAGTCTTTCTTTTTTGTTGTTTTGCTTTGTTTTGTTTTTGGAGGCAGGGTTTCTTTGTGTAGCTTTTGCTGTCCTGAAACTAGCTGGGATTAAAGGTGTGTGCCACCACTGCCAGGATCCAAATGTTCTTTTTAAACCCTGGAGTTCAGAGGTGACATGGAAGAGAGCAGAGAGAACTATGTGGCTCTCCAAAAGAAAACCCATTTCTTAGCCAGGCAGTGGTGGTGGAGGCCTTTAATCCCAGCACTCAGGAGGCAAGAGACAGGTGGATCTCTGTGAGTTCAAGGACAGCATGGTCTACCAAGTGAGTTCTAGCACAGGCTCCAAAGCTACAGAGAAGCCCTGTCTTGAGAAAACCAAGAAAGAGAAAGAGAGAGAGAGAGAGAGAGAGAGAGAGAGAGAGAGAACCCATTACTTTAAAGAAGTCAGAAAGCACAATGCCAAGGCCAAGCAGTGTATCCAAACCGCACCCTAGGGTAGCTCTGAAAGTGGCCAACATAAAACTGTAAACTTAAATAAAATATTATGAGGTTTATTTTGAGATTTTTTTTCAAATTGCTATCACCAGACAAGTATAAAATTTATTTTATGTAAACATAATTTCTGAAAGGTAGCAAAGAATTTCCCTCTTCAGATGAAAAATGAAACTCTTTCGCCAGTGCATCTGCATACAATAGCTCTGTTGTACAGTTCTGAGCATGAACTTTGTCCATGGACGCATCATTTATCACAATGTCGGGTTGGATGTGTCAGCTAGGGACTCAGCCTCACCAAAGTCTCAGATGAGACTTGCTGTAGGGCCAGCTTTGCGTTACACGATGCCTGGAAGACTTCAGAGAAAGTCTGTCCTCTCTCCCCTACATCCTAGGCCAGTGAGAAAATCTGAATGCCGCCTTTCATTTTACTGAAGTTTGTTTTTGTTTTTTATTTTTTGAGACAGGGTTTCTCTGTAGCTTTGGAGCCTGTCCTGGAACTAGCTCTTGTAGACCAGGCTGGCCTCGAACTCACAGATCCGCCTGCCTCTGCCTCCCAAGTCCTGGAGTCGCTGCATTCAAGGCCCTGTGACCTTCAAGCCATGGACTTGACTGTGGCACTAAACTGCTTCATTTTAAAAATAATTTGTCATAGGGAGGATAGAACCAAAAACAAGTGGAATATATTTCACTCTATAACTGAGTGGGTTGTTTATTTATTTGTTTTTATCTCCCTAAACTAGTCATCTTGGGTTTGTATTATTCAGGGGCTTCTTCTGTTGGGTACCAGAGCAGTGTGGCACACAGTGGGTCTACCTATCAGTGACAAGCCTTGATAGATGAGTTGAATGGTAGGTGTACCAATTTTATCATTATTTATGCTCCATATAATAGATATGTCTCTACCCTAAGCTCTGGAGCTGATCTCTGGTTTGTTTTTTGTTTTTTTTTTTGTTTTTGTTTTTTTTTATCATACAGTAGATAAGGATGAGGAAAGGATCTTTTGCTCCTATAACAAAGCTCCATTCTTGGTCCTTGTAAACTTTCCCAGAATTGCCTGCCTCTGATTTGCAAACAGAACTAAAGAGCAACTGCAGGCTGGCGCTGTGTAGCTTGTCTTGTTTATATTTTTCACCTCTCTTCCTGGAAATAATGCGTTCAGTCTGACCCAAAACTAACTCAGGATTTTTCCCAGTTCGCCGATGGCAAACAGTGCCATGTTACCCTGGGTAGGCTCCAAGAACTACAGAAGAGAACAGTTTGCAGATATGTGGCCACTTCTTTTTCAAATGGGAATAAATATAAAACAATACATGGAAATTAGTTTTCTTGTTCTCTGCGACTTAGCCAAGCCCCTGCGAGTTGCTAATGGAAAACTGAATGGACATAATTTCCATCCTCATTAGCAACCTGTATGTTAGATACATGAATAACTGGCCTGTGTGTTTGTGTAAATATGGATGCAAATCATCATTCATAGCTGCCTTTAGGCCTTGGCAGTAGGTATTGACAGCAGAATTATATCTCTGAACACCTCCAATCCCCTTGTTTCCTTTCCTTCCATCCCAGTTCCACCACTCAGTTACCTGAATTCCTGGTCTTGGGTCCCGAAGTCCCATGCATTGCAGAGGCGGAAAGAGCAATCGTGACCATTCTGTTTATTCTTGGAGCATTTACACCCATCCTCTTACCTACTGTGACAAGCTCTGGAAGAAGCATGCTCAGGGTACCCAGAAATCTGTTCTGCAGGTTGATGTCAAAAGTGTTTGGGGTCGTGCCACCTTAGTCTCTATTGTGAAGCTTGAATCTGGGTTCCAGTTGTCTGCAGTGTGGTTGGCTTATGCTTGTGTTATCAGCCACCTGAGACAGGCCATGCCATCTTTGGAGTTAGTAGAGATTTCTGTCTAAAACAAACTCTAAAAAAAATGACTATAAAGGCCCTCCAGATAGCAAGGCTATCTTCCAGGCAGGCACAATAATGTGAAGGTATAAAATCATAGTTTCTACTGTATTTGGATATGTCAGAGACATAGCTGTGTTAGTTAGCTGTCAACTAATATCATAAAGAAGCCTACACACACACACACACACACACACACACACACACACACACGTGTGGCTGAGTAACCCTAATAAAGATGTCCAGACCGCATGTACCTATAGCTCTTCCCCTGTGTCTCATCAGTACTACACAAACTGTATAGGGAGGAAAGATAACAAAGACCCCCAGAACCGATGCTGCTTAGACAGAAAGGAGGCCCCATCAGTAGCATGACTCTTTAATCTGTTATTTACAATGTATCATCCAACAGACTTACAGAGAATAAATAAAGAAAATACACTATTGGCATCACGTTCTGCTCCTTTTTCTAATACAGAGGAGTTTTGTGTATTCTGTTTTAGAATGACTATGATAGTTTTAGGCAGAAATTAAATCCATTTGCTGCTTAGCCCTTAACAAAGCACATTATCCACCCCAGCCCGTGAATAAAGCCCAGATGTTGCCTCATCATGGAAGAGTCCACCATACTGCTGCACAAAGTCAGTCCTCAGGAGCAGTTACCAGACATCGGGCAAGAAGAGCTGCATCCTTGAATAGCAAAGAATGGTTCAGATGACTAGTGCAGATTGCAACCCCTCAGTGTGTTTGCAGAAAAGCTCCCAGCTTTCCCCGTCATCCAAACCCCTTTTAAAGAAAACACATTTGCCCTGATATTGACTGCCTGTGCTTTCCCTTGACAGATGTTTCCTTGACACGCAGTTGGGATTGCAGATCAGCCTTGGAACTCGTATCTGTTCTCCCAGAAGACCTGTAAAGCGACTGGCAAGGTGTCTGTAGGAGAAACTAAATCAATAGCTCGGTTCAAAAGAGCTAGATTTGGAGCCAGGGTCTACTCTCCGCCTTTGAACTAGAGCCCTGGGAGAAGCACCACGCGTGCTGTCTGAATCAGCGTCACCACCACAAGACACAAGGGGGTACATGCTGCAGGACACTTTCTTCCCTTTTCTTTTTATGTTTTAACAGAGCACTTCTCCCAAAATTCACACTTGTGATACATAACAATTTTTCCATACTTTATTCACTGAAAACATAAAATTCACAAAATATTCACTTGTGTGCTAGGAACTTCATAAGCCACAGACAGTTATTATCATGTAGCCCTTAAGCAGGGCAGCTTAAAAATGGCCAGCAGAAAACCCAAAGTCATGACCCTTTAAACTAGAGTTTCAACTTTTCCGTAGGAAGCTTGAATTTAATTCAGCAGCTATTAGGACATTTAAGGATGAACATTTAAGCAAATGAGACTTCCCCGCTACTCTGAAAAGGGTGTTTTATCTCCCATTAGGGGTTTATATTTGTATTATAGTCTACCCAAAAACTATCCCTGCTTCCAATAAGTATCACTTAATTCTTGACCAAAGTACTGCTTTACCCTAAAGCCTCCTTGTCACCAACAAAAGCTCCATTCTTCTGTTTAGAATTTCCTTCTGCCTGAAAGCCTTTTATATTATTAATCTTCTTAAGTTGTTCTTGGATTGTTTGGGGGTGCCAACCGAAGAACTAATCATTTCATATGATTGGTGTGGAAGGCTATGGCCTTTCTGGGCCCAGCAATGATGAACGTTAATTGAAAGTGAATTTAGCAAATAGATGAGATGTTGTTCACTGGTGAATGGGCTTGCCAACTGCTGGTTTCTCTCAACGTTTGTCGAATAATATCTAGGCTCCTTCCTGCCGTGTGCCCCCAAGGCCAGGTTATGAACCAACAGCGGTGATGTCCAATGAGCAAATGAGTACAAGGCAGGAAAACTGGTGAAATCCAAGTTCAGTTTTGAAAATGGCTCCAAGCAGACAATGGTTTTGATGGAAGAAAATAGACTAAAATATTATCAGCAGAAGGAAACCAGATCCAGGGTAAGCCCGTGCTGAACTGATTCTTTTGTAACTTCTTTCAAGTTTCAGATCATCTGAATATAACAAGTATCTGAGACGTATGGGACAGCTAACTGGTGGCTCCTCGGTCTTTTTCTGCCAGCCTACTCAGCTCATTAGAGAACAGAGCCCAAATCTGCTCGGAATCAAGTCCTTATTAACTACCCAGTTTCCTTCCTTCTTAATTCAGGATCCCAAATAATTCATTGAGTGCCAATGACATTCATCTGTTTCTAGAATATGAAACTTCAGTTCAAAAGGATTTCCCAGAGTAGACTAGAATCTGCATCTTGTCAAGACGATAGGGGCTTACCCAATGCAGCGCCCAAGGACATGGGCTTCAAAACAAAGAAAAGAGGACTATGACAGAAAACACCAGACCCATGAATTCAACTTAGGATCAAAGTCATCATAACTAATGTACTGCAATTCTCTTCATTTTGTATTTTGGGATAAAAATATTCTTCTGTCTTTTAGTGTATGTGCTCAGAGCATCTTCCCCTGTTCCCTTCATCCTGACACTCCCCTCTTTCTCTTCTTTACTTAAAACACATGGCCAAGCCTCACATCCTGGTTTTCTTGTGGATGCCTGGGTGGGGCTAGAAAAACATGTTTCCAACATGTCACATGCCTCTGTTTAAAAATCAGACAAGAATTAGTCTTGTCTAACTTACACCTATTGTTTTTATGTTTGCTGGGGCCACTCTGGCTCCAGCAAAGATGAGCATTATTGAAAGTCACAACCATAAGCTCCCAAACTCCTAAATCTTCAAGCCAAAATAGCACGTGGAACACCAAGCCCAGTGCACAGACAGCTTTGACTTGCTACCAGCACTAGATGTGGTCTAGAAAAAAATAGGAGCACAAACTGCTTCCTGTACCCACTTCCCCTGAGATAAAAAGGGCATTCCCTGGTGGCTACACATGCCTTTATCCATGAAGACCATCCCCGTCCTTAACTCTGCCAAAATCCCTTCTATAGCCCTGACTTCACTTTAAGAAATACAGTCTCTCTCACCCAGTTTTTCTTCTTCTACTCATCCTTCATTCTTTTCAAGTCACTTTTTCTAATCTCACTCAGATCTCCTTTCAAGGGTTTACTTTCAGGTATCAAAAATTGATTTCATGGCCCCACCATCCCTGTTTCTACCTTTCCTGGCTTGCCTCCTCCTGTGTCTTCCTATAATCTCTCCTTACCTGTCTTTATGGTACCTTCTTTCTCATCTTCGCCTCATCCTTTCCATTCAGTCACACACACATTTGTGTAACCACTTTTTAAAACCACTTCTTGCACACTTGCACACAGCCCTCTTTTGTCATCCAGTCCTGAACACTCACAGGTGATTTTTCCATAGCCTTAACAATGCATCATCCCCTAAGGGCACTCCTTTCAACTTTAGATCACATACATGAATTAGTGAGATATCTGTCTGGCCAACAGGGAAAGATTTGAACATAGATACTGAGGCTATAGATAATGATAGAACCTCTGCCTAGTATGTGTGAGTTTCTAGGTTTGATTCCCAGCACTAAAAAATATATGGAACTGCCTATCAATACATTTGTCATAAAGGTAGAAATCGAGACATGATAGTCTAAAGGTCATCTTGACATAAATGGTTCATATATATATCATGATCATGAATAACTTCAGAAAACAATAATAACCCACGGTTTCTCGTCTGTTTCTGTTCTCTTTCCTAAAGCCTACCTTCATTTCTCTAATTCAGATTTGAGCTACCTGTTAAGTCTATATGGTAAGCCCTTCCCATCTACCATGTTGGGTCACTCAGGTTGGTACAGCTCAACTCTACAAGTATAAATAGAAACTAAACTGTGTCGATAAATCAAAGGTCTCAGTGCCAGAAGGTAGAGCCTTCTTCATACAAAAAAAAAGAAAGAAAGAAAGGAGGGAAGGAGGGAAGGAAGGAAGGAAGGAAGGAAGAAAGTTAGAAAGAAAGAAAAAAAGAAAGAAAGAAAGAAAGAAAGAAAAGACAAGTTCTGCTTGTACATGATGATATGTTTCGGAGAGTCACCTGGAACAGATGAGTTCCATGATGCAAAGTCAGGGAATTTCATTTTAATCACGACTTTTAAATAGCAGGTAAAGGAATGAAGCGAATTAGGGAAAGAATCTTAAAGAGTGCAGAGCCAAGAGTTGTGAACAAGATGTGGCTGGCCCTGGAGATACCAAATGAGATAATGGGTGGGAATTCCGGGCACTCTAGAGCAGAGATGATGCCGGCATCAGCGTTTCTAAAATGCTGCCTCTCGGGGTCTCTTTTACTGGCCACACTTTTCTGAGCAAGAGAGCAACTGAGCCTACATCAGTTACAAACCTGGTTCTCCAGCAAGCACAAAGCAGAGCAGAACTCCAAGAGATTTCCATTTCCAGACTGCCTAATTCAATTTACTCCTTAGACAGATAAGGAAACAGATTCAGAGAGACAATGAGACTTGGGAAGATGGCATACTTGGCTCAAGGCAGAAAGAGGGCCAGAGTTCCAAACCCAACACTCACCTACCTCTCCTCCAATCAATGACCCCAAAGTTAGTCTTGGAAAAGACTAAAGCAGAAAATGATACAAAAGCCACAGGAAAGGGGAATTCACTATGACTAAATAGGATCTGAGAAATTAATTTTAAGAATTAGAACTACATCTCTGCTGTGCCCTGGAGTTATCTGAACCAAGAAACAGCCAGGCTTTTGAGAGACCATAGAGCAAGCTGCCTGGGTAGACAACGGAAACAGCTATTTTACCTCAGCTTGGGAAGCTTATTCGGTAATCTTTTCTTGGTTTTCCTGTACAGGACTTAAGGTTTCTATATTCTAGTTTCCCAATGAATCTGAGAGTCGTTAGAATATGAAAACTTAGGATCTGCTCTTAGACAGCTCCTGTTTGATGGTGTATCAGTTTCCACGAATCCTGAAACTAGACCCTCTTCTCTGCTGCTGGCCGCCATCTCCATGGCAAAAGCACATTCAGTAACACTGAATGGCTATCCTTTGACTCTCCCATACAGACACAAGTATCCAGTGGCCAGGAACCTCTTTTTTGCATAGTTCTTCAGCTAATATCTGAAAGTTCTCAGAGATGAGAGATTCGCCATCTCTGGGGAAGCCCATTCTTGCCTGTAAGTTCTGATTCTCTCCATACTTCCCCAAATAAAGAGTGAAAATCAGTTTTCCTATATCTTCCTTTTCAAGGTCCAGGCCAGCCTTTTTGGAACACTCAAAATGGATCTACTATACGTTGTACACAGCATTGGATATTTATGCCTGAGAAGTTCAAATCCTAGCCTCTAGGTCACACAGGGGAATCACATATTGAAAGAAACAGAACTGGGAAAGATGGACTAAAGGAGCAGCCTTTAAAATATCAAAACATCAGGCTTTTACTGACTTTTTAATCAGTGAGCAAGTGAACAAGGGAACAACAGAGATAGCTACTATTCATCCTCCACGGACCTCCTTTCCTATGACTCTGTCTACTGAGAATCCCGGGCAATCTTTCTTTTCTCTATATAAGTATTGTCCTTCAAGTCTCACAACAGACATTTTTCCTGCCCATATGACCTGTTTCATAGGCATGCCCTGATCTCTGTCCATGAGTGAAGAAAACATTCATTCCAAAAAACAAAGCAGAGCTTTTGAACCTTTAAGTACATGTCACTCACTTTGACAAGAGAGAGAGAGACAGAGAGAGACAGAGAGACAGAGAGATCTGAGAGTGGGTCAAGTCCAGAGGCCAAGTCAAGAAGACATCCATTAGTTGCGGAGTACCAAGTCCTGCAATTCTTCACGGCTACCAAGTCCTTTCCTTATGCCTAAGCTCATGCTTCCCAAGACATTCGTATTCTTCAAGTTTTTCTTTCTAAAGGTATTCTATAGAAAGTGACATGGAAAATATTGCAGGATCTGCACACTTATAAACATAAGCATAACCTTTATAAATTATCTGAGTTTCTAGCCTTTATTATCTAACACTTAGATATATCAAGTAATATTTATTTTACTAAATTTTATCTGCTCTATTTTTTTTCTTTTTTAGTTATTTCATGTAAAAAAGTATATATGAGTCAGTGGTAGGGAATAGGGAAGTGTAGTGGAGGAGGCAAGAGACAGTAAGAGGGTAAAGTGAACGCTTTTCTGTCTCTTTGGTCCATTAAATGTCCAGATGAAGTGGCTTAAACGTGGGTGAGTGGTAGGTCTTGTGGGAAGGACCTGGGCCACAGGAACATTGGCAGGCATTGATGACATCACTCGTCCCCTTGTTGAAGAAGCAGAAGGTGTATTTCTTGGAATGATGGCCGATGCTTGGTCTCTCTTCTCCAACAGCTGAGCATCAGCTTATATACAGAGTCGGGGCAAATGGCTGGTTGAGGGAGATAAGTCTTTGGAAACAAAAAATTTAAAAGAGAAAATACAGATTAAGAGAAAGGAGGTGAATAAATTGTACCATAGCTCCATTTATGCCCTCACTACCTTATCGAACTCAACAACCGAAACAGATAGAGGACTCTATCTATTCTTCTCAATCATGGAGTTCTAGCTCATTAGCCCCTTTCCCATTTCCATGGTCTTCCCTAGTTCCCTTAAGCAGTATTTTATGGTGGACCATGCTGTGAGCCCTATCTTCAGGCTGAAGATAAGACCAATGCAAAGCAAGCTCAGATGCCCAATTTGTGAGCATGGATCTTGGTTGAGCCAATACAACAGATGTCAATTACATTTGTAACTTCAGCTCCATAAAGCATTTGACGTTTTATTGCAACTTTGCTTGGAATAAAATTTCAGCCAATGCAGAAATTGGCATGCAGGTCGCATTCTTGTAATGCCTGCTATTGTCCTCTGTGTTTCCCCTCCTCTGTATTAGTCTCATTTAGACGAGATTAGATTGCACTGACAGGGTGGTCACTGTGCCCTACCTCCAGGCTAGGATGTTGCTCTGAAGTTGCCAGTTAGCATCTCCACAAGGACGCCACTCTGCTTAATTCCCAGTCTTCTGTCTTCTATATACTGTTATCATCCCTTTACCTATAGTTTTAATACCCTGTTATACTGATAGATTACTTAGCCACACTCAAACGCTCCATGTTCCCTGAATCATCAAAGTATCATTGCTTCTGCTGAACACAATATCTGTGCCTAGTTAATCATTAACTACTTCCCATTGCCCCGCCTTACCCCAGGCAACACCAGCCTGTATCATGTATCGTAGGAGCTGGGCTTTACAGAGTCTAATAATCACATATGCCCATCAACGCCTAGTTCACAGGCAAAATGGCTAATAGGCAAAATCTTTTACTTCTGTTAAAATAGCAAAGTAGATAGAATATCAAATCAGACATAACAGCTCTGCGCGTTATACAACTATGGTTGTAAAAGACCAAGCATTTGAGAGACACCATTACCAACAAGGGTACAGCATAAGAGGCATTCACACATATTACTGATAAAACTTAAAGCTGCGGATCTCTTTGTGAGGTGCCCACTGTAGAACTTTATAAAAATTATTATAGAAGGATGCCAGATGTGGCAGAGGCTGGTTTGTAATCCCAGTACTCGGGAGGCTCAGGCAGAAGAATCCGACTTCAAGGTTACCTTCAGAATGTAGCAAGGCACAGTCTCAAAAATAACAACAGCAATAGCAACGGAATCCACTCTAAGCCAATGTACATCAATGAAATTGCAATAGTAAATAATAGGAATTGGTAAGGACCCTTTCAAATGTTATAAACTTGACAATTTAAGTTACATTTCCTAATACTTCATATCATATATATGATTTTGTTACCTCTTGTAACACCAAAGAGAAAATTAAAACTATTTCATTTATATAGTTATTTATACTGTGCGAATTCAAGAAAAAAAATGCTGTCTGGAATTTCTCCATATCTTGTGACTATAAATTGAAAGCAAAAATGTCAAATACATTATAGTGGTTGAAATTTTTGCTATAGATGTCTACGCATTTTAAATTGGAGATAAATTGTTTAAAATTTTCTTAAGCTATGAACCCGAAATATAAAATTTCTTCTAGAATTTACATTAGCCCAGCTGTTCTTTCTCTTCCTTGTATCCAGTAGGCTTGTTGAACTACTTGAAAATGATTTCAGCACGTGTGTAGTTCAGTGACCACAGAAGCCATATAGCTGCTGATAAACAAGAATACTGACATTTCAGTTATAAACACAATAGCAATTAAATTTTGTCAAATTTAATAAATTGTGTTTAATCAGTTATTTACATTGATATGCCAAGTTTAATAATTTTTATCAAAATTTCCAGTTGTAGCTGAGAAATGACTTAGTATATGATGGTAATATTTGGCTTTGGTCTGGAGTCAGTCAAATATCCGACTTCAGTGCTTGACCATTGGTAGATGGTCAAAATGTATATTTGGTACACTGCTGGTATCTTGTATAGGTAAAAATAGGGGGTCTTTTTACACAGACTGTCCAAAACTAAATGAAAAAAAGTAAAGTTCTGAAGATTATTAGAAATGAGAATTTCAATTGCTATCAGATGGTTTGAAAAGACACGTTCTTGTGAAATTGAATAACATAGAATTGAAATAACTTTTGGGTATTTAGAGATCATTTTTAGTATCACAAACATTCATGTAAAACGAGGAAGAAAGGACTTAGAGGCCTTCTTCTTGTGGCATGGATGGTGATCTAATTTTGCCTTGGTATAAAAACTGACTCTTCGGGGTTTCTCTTGATAAATAATAATTTGAAGAAAACTAAGAGGCTTTTAATAACTCTACCTTCGCATATAATTCTAGGATACACTCAAATTAAGACCATTATTTTGATGAGTAGGATCCATTTTCTAACTGAATGTACAACTCCTAAATGGCCATGTGTCCCCTAAAGGATGGTTTGAATAGATTAAACCAGGGAGAGGAACTTTTTTTCTTGGCCCATTGCATATTTCATAAAGACAAGGACAAATGTTTGCTTTATCACAATAAGAGAGCGGTTATCTCCTGTGCTGGATTGTTTTATGTCAGCTTGACATAATATAAGTCATCTGAGAAAACCTCAATTAAGTAACCTGAGAGAAGCTCAATTAAGAAAATGTCTCCATAAGATCTGGCTGAAAGCAAGCCAGTAGGCCATTTTCTTAATTAGTGATTGATCAGGAAGGGTCCAGCCTATTGTGGGTGAGGCCATCCCTGGGGAGGTGGTCCTAGATTCTTTAAGAAAACAGGGCGAGCAAGCCATGAGGAGTAAGTCCTCCTCCTTGGCCTCTGAGTCAGCTACTGCCCCTGGTTCCTGCCCTGACTTCCTCAATGATGGACTACGGTGTGGATGTGGAAGCCAAATAAACCCTTTCCTCCCCAACTTGCCTTTGGTCATGGTGTTTCAGCACAGCAACAGAAACGCTAAGCCACCTCCTGACTAGGACAGGCGATAGAATACCTATTACCACACTATCTAAAGAATATTGAGATTAAAATTAAGTTCCCTGCCAGTTCTCATTTTCAGCATGTACCATGTGTTATTCTTGCCCCTCTCTTGTCATTTTCTTGTGTAAGTCCAGGTAAGCCAGAAAGGACCCACTTGTATCTTCTGCAAAACCTGTCTCCAGCTATTACCATCTTCCTATTGATGATACCATGACGTAAGGTTTGCTATGAACAGATCACCTGAGGGACTGCAATGCTCTAGTTATTAGCAAGCTTTAAGTCCTATGTCTCTCAAGAGCATTAAATAGTTGGCCAACCAAAGAAAACTTGATATCTCAGAGAATCCGGACTTGTTAGCTTAGGGGCTCAGTAGTCCATAAGTCCCAAAAGGCTCCATAAGCAGGCCCAGCCTCCCCAGAGAAGGGCCAGGGTACCCGGTCTATTTGTGGATGTGCAAGTGCAGAAACATTGCTCACCAGCCCAAACCAACACCATATCTTATTCTAAGACTTTTAAAACAAATACCATTAACTCTCTTCACTCTTTTTTGTCGCCCAGTGGACTAGTCAAATAATCTAGATCTAGAAATAGATTGAGCATAAGAAACAGAATTCTGTTTCTGTCCTTGAACTGGGGTCTTCCTACTAAGTCGGGACCTTCCTTTCCCCTTTGAGAGCACCCCAGTTCACATCCCCAGTAGTTCATACCTGCCTCCCTTGGTCTCGGAAGAACTCTCCAGTATTCTCAATGACCTGCTCATCCGACAGCTGGGAATAGGGCTGCTCCTGGCAAAAGGTGAAAGTCTCCCACAGAGTCACCCCGAAGGCCCACACATCACTTGCTGTGGTGAACTTGCCCTATTGAAGGAGAAGAAGACAAAATCAGAGTAAGCCAGGTACAAAGAGGAAAAGAGCACATTATCTGCTCATCATCTGGAATCAGTATTCTCCTACAAAGGACAAGGAATGTGACAACTGGCAAGTTTTGCCTGGAGGATCTGGAAGCAGCAATATGACCTTACTAGAAAGCAGCCCATTCTCCCATCTCCATGACCTGGGCTTAGTTCTGTTTCTCTTGGAGATGACATCCAAGAACTGAAAGGATACTGACCATGAGCCAGTGGACTCTATGAGTGCTAGAACCCACACTTGTAAGCTACCCATCCTCTGAACACTAGAAGGGCCACCTGTAGGATATGGGACACTGGAGAATCGCCAAAGTTAGCATGAGAAGTCAGCTGTTTTGATGGTAGGGATAAAGGAAGATGTTTCAAGTGCATGGAATTAGGCCTGGTGGATTGAGGACTCTTGCTTCCATATTCAGTGATAGCCACAGTCTTGAAAAAAATGACATTTTCATTAAATACACATTTTTTATTTAATAAAGATAGTGACATGAACTTGTAGAGGATATTGATTTTTAGCTCAGAAAAATAAGAGAAGTTTGCTAAATCATCCTGGTTAATAAGTGCCTTAATAATGCAAAAACTGGAGTAGGAAACCCCTGAATGTAGTCCAATATGTCATTTTTTTTAAGATCACAAAGCACCTTTAGGTTTAAAAAAAATGCTATCTATCTATCTATCTATCTATCTATCTATCTATCTGGGTATTTTTAGTTGTCCTAGAACTTACTCTGTATACCAAGCTGGCCCGGAACTCATAGAGATCTGCCTGCCTCTCCCCCCTGAGGGCTGAGGTTTTAAAAAAAGGTCTAGAATCAAGACCATTCAATAGTTGGAAGGGTAGAGGAGGAAGGGTACTAAATTCCTTATACTTTTAAACTTTTTCCCTAAAGTTTCAATAATGGTGTATTACCTTTTTACCAGAAATAAGCAAGTCTTTAATAATAATAATAATAAAAATAAATGTTCAGAGACGATCCTCTCAAATCAGGGAAAATATCAAGGTCTGTGGGCTTGCCTCCTGCTGCCTCCCATTTGTCCCAGCCTCCCACCCGAACAGAGGGTCAGCTGCTAGACAGGGCTCACGGGTGTAGAGACTCACCAATAAGATGCTCTCCCATGACATCCAGCGGATGGGGAGCACGGCCCGGCCCTGGATCCGGTAGTAGTCACCACTGTACAGGTTCCTGCTCATTCCAAAATCAGCTATCTTGATGGTGTAGTTCTTGCCCACCAAGCAGTTTCGGGTGGCCAGATCTCGGTGGACAAAGTTAAGGGATGAGAGATACTTCATTCCAGAGGCGATCTGGGTAGCCATAAACTTCAGGTTGGCATAACTGGAGGCACGCATAAGAAAGAGAAAGCAGCTGTGAAGGGGCACATTCTAAACAACAAACCAGGCTTGAACCATCTATATCCTGCCTCCGCTCTTAAGGAATCTGTTTGATTTCCCCTGCTCCCCACAAAGGGTAGCTCCCCCATCATTCACTGCAATAATAGACTTCCCACGACAACAGGAACCTTAAACATCACCTCTCCCCATTTTCAGGTCCTTATGACCTTATGACCACAGAGAAAAGACAACAGATGTGAGTTTTTTTTTTACCTGACTGTGGCATTGCTAGAACAAGAACCCAGAGGCTCGTGGCGGGAAAGAAACTGATTGAGATCTCCATTTTCCATGTACTCCGTGATCATGCAGAGTGGGTCATCGGTGATGCACACAGCTAAGAGACGGATGATGTTTGGGTCCTTGAGCCGAGACATGATCTTTATCTCCTTAAGAAAATCATTCCTTTGGAGGGTGTGATTGTAGAGAAAATCAGAGGTTGTCAGAATCAGAACGGAACAAGGAAGGATGCCTGACATTGTCTGTTCCCACCCATCACAACATGCCTTGCTCCCCTCTGGAAGATCTTTGAGATGACAGAAAAACCGCACCCAGAACAATCACATTCAGCTCCTCCTTGAACAAAACGGACCTTTATTTAATCAATAATGATGTTCTTAAGAACAAGATCTATGTCTTACTTTTATATCCCTCATATGGTGGTAAAATGCCCCTACATGGAAAGGTGCTGATGTTACTGACTCAAATATGTGTTGCTTAAAGCTACCTTGCAAGTGGAGCTTTTCACTAACAACCAACTTGAGGACATTAAGATATTTGCCTCTTTCAAGAGCTACTGAATCGTACTATTAATGAAGTGGAGATAATGAATAACCACCCTCTTGATTATCTTATCATTTCTCTTTTTCTCCTACTGGCTTTTCCCGAGACCACCTGCACCAGCAGCCAGCCACAGTATATACACTGATTTGGTAGCCTGTTCAAGCAGAGTTGTTTGAAAGTCATCATGAGTCATCATGGTAAACTAAAGTCATTTCACAAGTATGCATCTGGCCAAAACTTGCAATGGTTTGAATTCAGGGTGGCAGCCACACTTGAGTTGCAAATTGTCAACATGGAGCCCATAGTCCACATTCCCAAAACTCCAGGGGCAAATCAGTTAGAAGTCTCTGGTGAGTTTTATAGAATTTCTGCAAGAAAGACAATGCATCTCTTTCAAGTCAGGCTCTGTCCATACACATTCTTGGGACCCATGTAGTCCTGATTCAGCATCTCCTCTCTTACTTTCCTATGAATCCCAGACCATAGGTTTTGGTGACTCATGAGGACCCAGAGTCTAGGTCATTTATCGCTATCACACAAGAGTGAACACAAGTGGACCTGGTAAATTTCATCAGCCCAGAACTGTATTGTCCTAGTACATACAGTGTCTTTTTCTCCTTGCCACTTTCTCCTGCCACATGCAAAGATTAATATGAGGAATATCCCATCTCTCTGTGGGCCCCGGGGGGGGTGATGCTTCTCATTCATGTGTATGTTCTTAAGTCAAAGCTCTTGGTTAAAGTGGGAAAGCCCACACAGCTCCATTTCCTCACCTTTCTCTCCAGTTCATAGCCTGTCTGTTGTAAGACTTTTTTTAAAAACATGAAACCTATCATTGTTTTTGGAATTTTCAATAACTTAGGGAGTAGAAATAATAAACTTCCTCTTGGGATGAATATCAGTGGGACAAATCAAGACAACACACATGGGAAGATACATGTGGTATCCAGATGTTCAGGGACACAATTGTTTGCTAGCAGCGTGCCCCTCCAGGTGAGGATTCACTCACCATTACCGTATGGAAAGGTTGTCAGGGGATAAAGCAGGGTGATGGAAACAGCAATGTATGTCATAAAGGATCCAAGAGACTATCAGCCAGTTAGGAAGCCTGCTAAAGGGTGGGGGTCCTTTGGCTCTGAGGTCCATGGATGCATTTCCAAGTAGAAGTAGCTTCTTATTGAGAGAAGCTGCTGAACATAGAAGAAAAGGAGCATAAAAGAGGAAAAAACAGGATGAGAAGGAAAACAGAGGTGTGGCAAAAACAGGAGGGCAGAGATGTAGGCAGAAATATGTCTGTCATTGTGAAGTCAGCTAGAGGATAGTGCCATTCTAGAGTATGTCTGGGTATCATGAGCGAAGAACACATGTGAGCTGTTGTGCACACTGGGGCAAGGGAAGGAAAGATATAGTGACTATAATATAAATAGATACATTTGTGTTTGAAAGAGATGGAAAAAATGGGCATGTCCAACCACATTGGAAGCATAAAATGTAAGAGTGGGCTTGGAGGGACAGCTCATTGACCTTCCCATCTCAAAAGAAGAAAGAAAAGAAAGGCTCAAGAATTTCCAGGAATAATCCTAATCCTCACACTATGAAATAGGTAAAGGAAAATTAAAAATTCAGACCACAGACCTGGCATTCTTGTTTGCATCTGCTCGGAGCATCTTCACGGCCACCAGGACAGGCTGGTTGGCACTGACATCTTGAGCAAAATCTTTGTCTTTGAATTTTTCCATTCCCTCCACTTCACAGAGATGAACCTAGACAAAAGTCATCTAGTCTCAGCATCATCATTTCTCCTGAAGATGGCTCAGTACTCTTGCTGGGCATATCCTAGAGATAAACTAATGCTTATAACTCAGGCAAAATAACTGAAGACCAATAAGAGGCTATGGGTGACATATCTTTGATTTAAGTAATTGACAACATTAATAAACAATACTGAAGTACCCAACTAATATAATATGTTGATGCCTTCTAAGAGCAATATACATTAAATGAAATATTGATAAAGGATGGGATGAATCTACAACATAGTATTTTATCATAGCATAACTGGTCTAGAAAATATCATTTGGCATAACTGTTACACTTTGATTTGAGAAAGTTAATCTGTGGTCTTAAAAAATAAGGCAGTTATTATAAGATAATCCCTTGGGGTGAGGAGAATGTCATAAATTATGCCTATGTGTTAGTAATAATATAGTGGGCATAGGATTTCAACCCAGGGGACAGAATGAGTCCATATGACACCACAGACAGATGTCATAGGCTCCTCTGCCCACTCCAACACCAAACCTACCCAGAGGGAGAATATTTGATCCTTATTGGAAGTCAAAAACATATTCACTTAAAACTAAGTATTATATTTGGGGCTTAAATGACAGGATTAAAGGGAACCCATGACAGCTGAAAACATCGCTCTGAGTTCCCTGAAGGTTTCTGGGACTCACACCAGAGTGAAAAGTTTACTATTCTGTGCCTTATTCTGAGGGCAACTCAGAAGAGGGCTCCTCCTTATCTTGTGATGATTCGTTCCCTAGTGGTTAATTCTGAAACCAAAGGCAGGGCGGGGTTGGCTTGGGTTTGGTTTGGTTTTGTCTTTTACCATTTTGACATATAATTCTCATTAAAAGAAAAATAATGACAGCATGAAGCAGGGTGTTCCTAGATAACCATAAACGATGACGATGTCCACGAGCCCCACCCTTGGCAACCTACTGGAAACAGTTTTTGAAAGCATTGAGTATGTTTTAGGGTATCTGAATTCTGGTGACTTATTTGCCTTAAAACCTTCTATATATCAATCAAACATCCCAGGAAATCCACAACTCTTACACAAAGATGAGGTCGACATTAACTGTCCATCCTGACGGCAATGCAGGCAAGTAGAGGAGACCTTCAGTTCTAAGTAGACCCGTGTGCTACTGATATTTTTTATCCTTCTGATCACATTATCAAGAGCTGGGTGTCTCCTTCTGAAGGTCAACTCACCTCCCCAAACTGGCCTTCTCCCAGTTTCTCCTTGAAGGCCAATAGTTTCCTGGGGAACTCTTCCACAGCCACGTCCTTCCCCGACAGCAGGTCCATGGTGACAGCGGGCACTGAGTAGGTGTTGCCACCTGTCACCCCCTGAAGATTCACTATGTCGGCTTCTGCATAATGAGGTACCCCTTCAGGTCCGTTGGGCTGGGCTGGCTTCACAACACCACTGCAGGCTGAGAAGACATGGGCACTGAGTCTGGCTCTAGGGGTGGGGGGGGGGGGCGGCTAAGGGGAGATCTTTAAGAAGGGATATCTGAGAGGTTAGCCAGAATCCGGCCCCACGGCAGCCTAACCCACTTCACACATACTTATCTGGGGATGGTTGTGCTTCCTCTAGCCCCCTTCTTTTTAAACTTCAAAATGTAGGCTACCATTTTGCTGCTCAGTCTCTTCACAAACCACCATCATGAACAAGGCCCCTGACTAATCCTATGGAATTGTGTGGCTAAGTCTTAGGAAGGTTTATTCTGGATCAGGATAGCAATCTTAAAGCCTGGAGGTTTAATAGCAAACTTTCTTAATTTCAAAATGCTGACATTAATTTAATAACACAGTTTAGGGGAGAAAACAACTGCAGATTGAATTTATATGATTTTGTTTAAGATATACCATAACTTTAGAATGTTAAAATCTGATTGATATTGGAGATGTTTTGGCCTTCAGGAAATAGGTTAACTACTCCAGTTCTGTTAAGGAAATAAGTTCATACATAGTCTTTACTCTTGCTGTTTCTAGGAAATTAGATGAACTCAGTGTTTTCTTTCTATGATGTTTTACCCCATCAGTGATAAATTGGATGTTAATTTCCTTTCTTCTTTCCGCAAGTTTATCCCTCGATGAGCCTCTACTCTTTATTTAGTCCTATCAGCTGGCTAGGCCTTCCTCCCCTGCACGGAAGTCCTCTGCTGCTAAGCTGGTCACTGGTACGCTGATGACCTTGGAAAGCTGCGAGGATGCCAGAAATGATCAAGCATCCCTCCTGACGTCACTCCATGGCACTTTTTAAAGGGGACTGAGATTAAAGCAACTGGTACTATATACCTTAATCAGCACTTTTATTGAGAAAAGATAAAAAGAAATAAATAAAATCTTACACCAGTGTAAAAAATATTTACCAAAAAGAAGTCAAAATTACTCAATTATTAAAATAGCTACCCACAGCTATAGAATATCCTTAGCTTCATTTTTCTTTTTTCCTCCAATATAATTTCCAGTCCAGAATTTACCCCAGTGGAGTCTGGTGTCAAGTGAGTGCCCAGCTGGGCCTTCTTTCCCGTTACACACAGAATATGAAGGTGACCTGGGTGAGACAGCCCAGCTGCTTCTGGGAACATCTTAGTGATACTTTGCCAATTTTTGTGGGTCCCTCTGTACATCTGACATTAAATATAAAAGGAAGAGTTTCAGAAAAGGCTAGAAGCAGCAGCTACCAAATCTAGAGACAGGCTGTAGGTTTCTCCAGAAGCTGGCACAGACTTAATGGATTTGGTTAACCTGCAGCATGAGTGTTATACCTACATCACATGAATCAAAGTTTCTCCCTCCGCCTCCTGCCCATAATTCCATCCTCACCCGGTTCCTCCTCCCCGGGAGCAAATTCTGGGAGCTTTCGGATGAGTCTGGACGGCTCCTGGTAGTCAGGGCGCAGGGGAAAGATTCGATCATAAGTAGAGTTGGACTCCTGCTCACTTGGGGACGAGGAGCGGTTGTTATTGAACATGCTGGACTCGCTGGGCAGGGAAAGGCTGACTGTCATCTCATCATCCAGCATCCTCCGTGAGGCCTGAAGGACATGGAGGGGGAAGAATGTGACTCTCCCTCTCTCTCATCCAGCCCTCCTCTCAGCTCATCCCTCCAAACCCCCAGGAAGGCAGCTGACAAGGAGATCGTCTGGTTTCATAAATGTCTGTGTTACAGAAACTTAGCAAAGCCCATATTTCCTCGAGGCAGAATTCCACCTCTAACTCTCGTGCTGACACCGCTATCAGATCTGCATCATTCACACAGCTCTGTAACAGCAGATCAGCAGCCAAATACTGTCTCTGTTTTTAGAGGTGTGTGAGATCTGTTGAAGAATGTCTTTTGTCAACTTATCCTTTAACCCTTTGATCTGGGTCAACATAAACCGGAATGTCCATTAACTCAGGAGTTCTAAAATATGCTAGACTAATGATCTATTTGATCACCCTAATGTTATATGCTAGAATAATAAGCTAACCTTTACTAGCCCCAAGCAGAATGGTCAGCTACCTCTACTAAAAGCAGACAAAGCACCAAAGGAGCAGCTGTTGTAGCGTACTGTCTAATGTAACCGCCTGCTCCAGTAATAGAAGACTGTCAGCATCTAATGGGTGTCGTATCTGAATCTGCAAAATGATCCATTTTAATAAACACACTTTGAGTACTCCATAGAGCACATTAGATGTCTGTCTGTCTACTAGACTGGACAGTACCTTGTTGCGGGAACACACTCAGAGCAAACACGGAACCCAGAACTTAGTAGGTCCTCCATAAATGTGTGGTGACTTTCTCCAAGAAGTATTGCTTGGGAACACCATCAAAAGTATCGACAAGAAATTTTATGGACTATAAATGTGTTTAGTAGTGCTGTTGGAGCACACGCGTACATAAAGTCTTTACACACACATACACACACACACGATGCTATCCTAGCAGGAAATCCAGAATGTCATTCCAGGGCACTGTGAGTCATTGTACAGGGCTATATAAAGAATGAAAGAGTAGTTGTAGAAAAAGTTCCTTAAAGGACTTAAAGATCCAAAGGCAAAGGAAGCTGCCCTCACGCTGTTGGGGGAGTTTCCAGACTAGCATTCGTCTCCCAGGTGATGAAGACAGTCCTGCAGCTTTCAGAAGAAAGGCCCAGAGAAATATGGTAAATTGTAGGCCAAATGAAGATAGAAAAAGATCCAGAGCAGAGAATGCAGATTCTCTTCCCTCCTTCAAGTAAAATGTAGCCCAACTAGGCTGTTCTGTAAACACAAACGCTAGTCCCACCCCTAACTGAGGGGCTATTGTCAGCTGATGGCTTCCCAGGAAGGGAGAGTCAGTATTCCTGAAGGTTGTGACTTCTGCTAGGTTGGCCACTCTCCAGTGGATGGCCCCACGCCCATGACTACTTGCCTACCACAAAATGGACATAGTAGGTTATAAAGAAGAAGGAGGGGGAGAATAAGAAGTTGGAAGGAGTGGGGATAAATATGATCAAAACACATTGCATAAAATTCTAAAAGAATTGATAAAAATATGTTTTTAAAAGAACACATGTTAGCTTCAAGCAGCCTAATGGAAGTAGTCAGCCGGATTATCCCGCCACCAACGGCCTTCTGCTACCTTCGAGCTGGAGTTACCCATTCAGATACAAGTGCACTTCAGCATTCTGAAAGATGGAACTGCTTAGTATCCTCCCATAGGCACCCTGAAACATATGTACCCCATTGAGTGGGGTCTGCCGTTCAACTCTGTAGATGCTGCTAAGGAACTGAAGGCTTTGTTTTGCTTTGTTTGTTTTTGTGTTTTGTTTTGTTTTTGTCTGATGGTGAGATGCAAAGAGACTTTCTCTCCTATGAAATATTACTGTCCCACAACCTTAAACTAAGCCTCAACTAACTTTGGGGCCTGGATGTGGAGCAGGTCAGAAAGGATCACAGGTGACTAGCTAGGTTGCTCCTATCACATCTTAAGTGAGCCCTTTCTTTCCTATTCTACATAGAGAGCGTTCTAGAGATTCAAGACCATTCTCATGGTGTCCTGCCCCTCTTCTGGCACAAGCCTTGGTCTCTGAAGTAAATGACTTCCTTCTAGCTTCCATGGAGACTCGCAGCCTAGAGCTCCTATGACCCATATCCATTGATAGGAGCTCATCGACCAGAAAAGCCAAAGCCAGAAACATTTCTATAGATCCACAAGTAGACCATCACCTATCAACAGTGTCCATTGAGGGGTTTTTCCTGATAAAGAAGTCAAGAAAAATTATAGATCCTCATCTTTGGTGAAGCATATTAATTTTGAACAATTGAAAAAAACAAAACAAATCCAAAGATAGAGTACAGATCATCCCTTGAGTATGCATAACTCATCACAACAAGCTCAATCTAGTTCATCTGAGCATCACCCAGAGTGGCATATGATGTACCATGCGTGAGCTAGATGGGGCAGTGCAAGTCTATTATGACACCTGATGGGGGGGGGTCAAGAGGATCACAACATGGTCAAGACCAACCCAATCAACAATACCAGGCTAACCAGGGCTACACAGGGAGACTGTTTCAAAAACAAAATAAAAAACAAACATCAGAAAATAAACCTTTGTATATTAAAATATTAGATGTAGATATTTATGACAAAAGTTATCCATGTCATTTGAGCAAGTAATTTGAGTAATTCTGGAACATATAAGCATAACCATCAAGTTTATAAAGATATAGGATTAAGATAGGATCCAAAACTACAGAGAAACCCTGTCTTGAAAAACCAAACCAAACCAAACCAAACCAAAAAGATAGTGATAAATTACTTGGTAGTTAATGAACCTAAATGTTTTTACACATAGAGAGAGAGAGAGAGAGAGAGAGAGAGAGAGAGAGAGAGAGAGATACATAAGCTTCATTGTCAATTTAATGGGCTTTGAGTCACCATGGAAGCATAATCATGCATACGTGAGCAGGTATTTGGAGCAAGAGGTAGCTGAGCAGGGAAGACCAACCCCAAATGTGGGCAGTGCCATCCTATGGACTGGGATCCCAGACTGAATAAAAAGGAGATGGCAAGCTGAGCACCAGCATCCATCTCTCTCTGCTTCCTGACTGTGGGCATGATGTAAGCGGCCACTGCCTGCCTTCCACCATTCCTTCCCTACATGAAAGACTGTCTTCCCCCATAAATCATGATATAAAATTAAGCAATCCTTAAGTTGTTTTTTGTCATCTATTTGGTCACAGCAACAGGAAAAGTAAATAATGGGACACACACACATACACAAAGACAAACACACAAAGAAGAGAAAGGACTTTAGGACCATTATCAGAAAGTTTAGCAGGACCAAGAGTGATCCCCAACCTCGGCCGTCCATCAGAATCATTGTCAAATTGAAAATACGCACACAGGTGCCTGCAATCTACCTCAGCCCGGGAAACCAGATTCTTCACGGGAAATGCCCAAGTTCAGACTCAATGCATTAGGAAGCATTTCCTGAGATTTCTAGGGAGACTCTAAATTCTTCATTCTGAAAATGAGAAACTCAGATAACTATTTTCTGGCTCACTTCAACAGCCTTCTCCATGCCTCTGCTTCTTGGTAGCATCAGGCAACTCACTAGCCTCTTAAAACTTTGTTGGAATCTGGCACTTTTGGTGCCTTGGCAGTCATAGCTCCCTTTCCATACTGCACAGCCTCACCTTTTCTAGCATCTTCTGCCAGAACTGCCTCCACAGGATGATGACAATAATAGCCAGCAGGATGAAGATGATGGCAACCAAGCAGCCAATCAGGATCCGAGTGTTGCTGTCATCCACTTTAAGCATGGGATCTGTGGCCAAGAAGAGAAAGCAGAGGAAAGAATCATTTCGCAGGGCAAATACAAAGCAGCCATAACTGGAAGAGAGCATGGAGACAGACCCTGTTCCTTCAGGAGAACTCCAGAAGGTGCCATCCTCATATTTCAGCTTTTACTTATCTTGCTTTATTACTTTGCTCCTATTTTCTACACTGCACCCCCGTGAGTCCCCACCACCCTCCCTCTCTCCATGTCTCAGACTAGATAGTGAAGAGTTTTTCTACGCATGCCCACATTTCCCCTCTATATTGTGACAGTCTATATGTATAAGGCTCTTAACATGCATGACAAATAGGTAAGAAATGAGTCCCACTCCTTCATTCTTTGAGATGGGCCAAGGGAGCTGAGATTTCCTGCAAGAGAGATCTATCCCCATGTTTCCTAATAGACTTCAGACTATTATAGCCGGTGACATCCTCAAGCAAAGAGTGCACTTTGGATACTCATTTCCAGGGAGACAGAAAAGCATTTTGTTTCATGGCCCCTTCCATGCCCTGAGATCACTGCTATGGGTCTCAAATAGAAATAGTCCCTTACTTGTTTCTTCTCCAAGCACCTTAAACCTTCCTGGAGCAGCTGGAACACTCAAGAGTCTGCCCCTCTCAGCTGCAGAAACTCACCAATGGTCAGAAATGAGAGTAACTCTGGACCCTTCACTTTGGGGGTGGACTATTCTTCCTTTAGCACATGGATGGAATCAAGCCACTCACAGTGAGGTCTTTGCAGTTTCTATCCTTCTTTATCTTGCAGGAAGTGCCTTCAATGTAATATTTAACAATTAATAATCATACGTACCATAGGTTGTAGGTGCCATAGGAGAGGTGGGCAAGGCTCCAGAATTGTTGTACATTGCGGTATCTGTTATAGAACAAGAGTGAATTAGAGCTTGGAGCAAAGAGCCAGGAAGGCAATGGCTCATCTGAAGGCAGCCTGAGACCTTGCATATTGAAAAATCAATTTAGTTGGTTACTAATAGTGATTTGGCAGGGAGGGGGGTCAGTTTGAGACAGGGTTTTTCTGTAGTTTTGGAGACTGTCCTGGAACTAGCTCTTGTAGACCAGACTGGCCTTGAACTCACAGAGATCCACCTGCCTCTGCATCCCAAGTGCTGGGATTAAAGGTGTGTGCCACCACTGCCCGGAAATAGCAATTTTTTTAAATGAAGAGATCCTGGAGATATGTATCCAGGCAATACATGTATTAGCTCATCATACTGTAACCCACAAACTCAAAAAAATGTCAATTAGAAACAAAATAAAAATGAAGCCATAAATAGAGTTAATAAAATATTACAAGTAAAGGCAACTTCTCTGGTGTAAAAACCAAAATTGTTGCAAATATTAGGTACCCTCACAGTATAAAACGTTAACACATGGCATTTCAGAGGGCTGTGGTTATAGATCATCATAAAATGGAGGTGCATGGAGAAGAGGACCTAAATTCAACAATACGTAGGAAAATTGAGTGGATACAGTGGCAAGGAGCAGACTTAGTACAAAAGCATTCCTTTCTTCAAAGAATTGAAATGATTTTCTAAAGGGATTTTCACTGTGCTTCACTGTCCTGATTCTCAACTTAAGGCTTCATTCATCCCTAGAGACAGAAAATCTGCTTTGCAGTATCCTTTAATGTGATGCTGTAGCTTTCAAGAACAGACCCCAAAGTGGGCTCTCCATACTGATAGTGGCAACTAAATTTTAGCTCTTATTTGTCAAGAATTAAAATATGAATTTCTCTTCTACAAGGCATTCCTTCAACAAATCCTAATTTTTCTTCTTGCCATTATTAAACAGCTCTGGTGTCAACCATACTTGTTAAATTAGGTCCTCAGGGATCTAGAAAAACTAACGTTATCAAGACATAGGATTTGAAGCTCAACAGAGTCCCAGGAATCAAAAGTATAATCTAAGCTTTGCTTGTCCAAGTAATAAGACAAATGCACCAATTACTCTGCCAAAAAAAAATTACCCAAGGATAGACAGATATCTGTGTGTTTACCCAGAGCATTTCCAAGGACATTTGCCCCCTCAATTATTATTACAAGATAAGAACCACTTCTTTTGAGCATACAAAGTTATGCTATGAATAAATTAAATAAAATAATTAGTATGTTTGCCTTTCAATTACACCATTGGCACTGATATAATATAAGAACCAAGGCTGTTTTCTAAATACACACACACACACACACACACACACACACACATTTTTCCTATTAGTGTAGTCTAACAAATGAACCATCTTGAAAATTTCTTCTTTAGAAAAAAAATCAAGCCAGAAAGGATATTACCTTCTGAAGCAAGGCTAAGTTACTCTCTTCTTCTCTGTCGTCTGATTTTATGCCTCTGCTTTTCTTCCAGGCCTGATGTAACTCTCGCGTCTTTGCCACTATTCACGACAAGTCCATGGTTTTATGCCCTTCTCTTCCTAATTGCTTATACTTCATTTTGGATTATTTCTGAAAAGTCATCTTATAGATTTCTATTTTCCAAACTAAAATTGAATGTCATGGACAAGGCATAAACTCCCTTTAACTTCTCAAGGTTTAGTATAGTGCAGGGTTTCTGTGAGCTCTTCTTTTGCTTGAGGATGAGATAGTCATTTTTAGAATTTACTGATAAATGTTATGAGTGGATATAATGACATTATACTCAAAGAAATATTTTCTTAGATGCATTTCAAAATGCTAGTAATAAACCAAAATATGCTTTAGATTTTCTTACAAGTACTACAGCAAAAATGAATAAAGGTGATGAAAGATTAGTAATAAAGGTGAGAGATGGAAGGAGATCCATTGTTCTCTTTACTTTTGTACATAATAGTTAGAGATTTTCATGTGAATACTTTGATAGTGCTTAAATGTTTTCCATTACGAGTCTTAATTTGAGCCGGGCAGTTGGGGCGCACGCCTTTAATCCCAGCACTTGAGAGGCAGAGGCAGGGGAATCTCTGTGAGTTCGAGGCCAGGCTGGTCTACAAGAGCGAGTTCCAGGACAGGCTCCAAAGCCACATTAGTAATTTGTAACATTTTTGGCACAATTTATTATCATTTTTTAAATTCTTTGACATAAATCTCTTTGTACTGCCCCACTCTCGTTCCCTATAACTACATAAAACTAGAAAGGCTTCTCTTTTTTTCCAAAAAAACTGTGAGGCACCTGGTAGCCCCACCCCTCCAGAGAACTTCCAGGAAGCAGCTTGGATGCCCTTCCCACGTCCTGCATCAACCCACTCTCCTCCATGTCGGGACCAAGGTTTCCTACCTGACTGGAAAGTGATCTCGCTGAACATCATCCATGTGTCGGCAAAGTGGTACTGGCATTTGATGGCACTAGCCATTCGGTGGTGGAGAGGCACCGTGACAAACCGAGCACTGGGGTTCACATCATCCAGGACGAGGGGAAAGGAGACGGCCGTGGGCTCCCACTCACTGGCTTCCGAGCGGAAGTAACACTGGACCTCCTTAAAGATCTTCACACCTTTAGCAAACATGTTGTTGCAATGGACCTGGCCGAGAGAGGGGCATGTGAGACACAGGCTAGCCCCGCTGGGTTGCACAGGAAAACAGCCTAACTTGCCCAGGAAACTCCTAGACCTGCCTGTTTCTCTGAATACTACCCATAATTCAGTCTTCTGGACAGTGGCAATGATACGCAGGTCAGTTCCGTCCTTATGAAACCTAGGATGACGTCAGCAGAGTCGCGCAGCAGAACCATACTGGGCCCCTAACACATGCTGTACCCATTTCCAGTTTGCAACTCTGTGCCAGGCTGCAGTGTCCCCAGCTGCTAGGGGAGGACTAGACCAGCATCGTCCCAAGCCTGTCCTCCACAGGAATTCTCCTGGCTCTACCACCTTCTCAATCATGCTTGCTCTCTGCCCACATTTGAGCTATTCTGATCTGAGATGGTGACCCAACTTGGCACCCTTCTTCCTTCTCGCTACCTTCCAAAGCCAGACCTTTTCTTTTCAGGGAGGGTATGTGGGAAACTTGAGAGAAAGTCATATGCAAACAAGTAAAATCTTTCTTTACGGAACTCTAACTTCACATACATGGATTGGCACTTTCAGTCAGAGGCACAGACGTAAGCAAATTCAGTTTAAGTAAAACCATTCAGATGGGAGAATCAAGTCTTTCTCACTGATAATTTCTGAGATGAGACAAAAAGTCAATTAGAAGGTAGCTGCCATCACTCTCCTGACCTATGACCCTTTCAGTGGGATGTTTGTTAGGCCTGTGACATCATCAAGAGCAAATATTCCACAGCAGTCCAACAACCCACAAAAGGTGTAATGTGTATGTTTGCAAATGACTTGGGTTCCCACAGCAGCTCAGTTCCATCTCCTCTGACTTGGTCTCACATGGAATACAGATCTTTGCTGGCCACTGTCCCTCGAGAGCTTCTCGGGTTGGAAAGGCCTGACTGCCGTTCATGGACCTTCTTTCCTGTTTCTGTTTTAATGGCTGCTTAGGCCCTGAGTGATGATAGTCAGTGGAGGACTACCAGGATGAATTCACTTTTAAATGAAGGAAATGACATAAGGACAAATGACTGGACCAGAGATATTCTAAGGGTAGATCAGGAGAGCTACTAGAAGGTACAAAAACCTTCTGCCCAAGTATGTGTGCTGACGAGATACACATACTCACGTGCTTTCCTGACCTATGGTCAACCCACAATACAGCTGGATATGGAGCCCTGGACATCTATCCCAATGTCCTTTTGTGTACCATACCGCAGAGAAATAGAGAAGCCTTCTTTTCCACTTGGCTTCTTGATTGTTGAACACATGGGTTAATATCTTCCTTGAGTGAAATAAACATCCTAGTCTATTGGCCCCCAAGTCAATGGAGTAAGGCTAAGGGCAAAAAAGAAATCAAAGAAATGCCTTCTCCAGCTTCAATAGGTTTTTCAGATGTTCTGAAATCTGCAAAGTACTGGGTAAGTACCCTGAAGGGAAGGTAATAATCTTTCCTACAGATGTTTCAAGAATTCCTCTGGAATGCAAATAAATAGCGTAGGATTTCATTCCATGTGGGCTTACATATTTATTTATTTAAACAATATATTTTGAATGCATGAATAAGCTTTAATAGTATACTTTAACCATTCTTCAAAGCAAGAAATGAAGAGTAATTTGCCTCAGAAAGAAACCTGATCTATAAGATATTAGTGCCCTGGAAGTCATCTTTTACCTTTTTTGCCAAAAAAAATTAAAACATGTGTGGGATCTGGTTGCCTAAGAAGATGGCCCTGAAGCTACTCCTTAGGAATTTCTGGTTTCTTAATTTAAGCTCTGGAATCATTTTGATCTGTGATAAACTGGCTGAAAAGAATCCTGGAGATTCAGAAAGATCACATTTTCCTGATGAAATATTATAACCTCATGGATAATTTAAAATTCATTTAATTATTTTTTAAATCAAATTCTCCCTGTGAGTTTATGTGTATGTTCACAGGTACATTAAGGACAAATACAAAAAAAATATTTCTCTTAAAGCATATTTTTGTTGTTGCTATCCATATTCCTTTCTTTTGCCTCTCTCTACAAAAATCTCTGAAGAGCAATGTGTTACATGTAATTGCAAACATTTATGTTTTATGATGGCTAAAGATCCTCCAAAAACTAGTCAACAGAGTGGGCGTATGTTGTTCCTTCTATCTTGATCTTAAATGGTCATTTAATGAATAAATGTTAACCCACTTAAGAGATATTATCCATTAATATCTGGAAGTACTATAGAAGGCATGTATTTTTAAAACTCAGTTTATGTAAGGAATGACAACTTTGTATTGGGTGAAATGTTTAATGATAACTGATGATACATATTTCCTTCTTCTTGGTCCCATATGACCCTGCATACATTCTTTTGCAAATTAATATGCCTTTCCTACTGACCTTGGGACCAATGTGGCCCAAAATAGGGAATATTCTTTACTTAGAATCTGGCATATTATTCCCCAAATACAGCTGTGTGATGGAGGAAGGTCATTGGTTAAATAAAAAGAAACTGCTTGGCCCTCATTGGTTAGAAGATAGGTGGGAGGAGTAAACAGAACAGAACGCTGGGAGGAAGAGGAAGTGAGCTCAGACTCCACAGCTCTCCTCTCAGGAGCAGACACCTCAGAGAGACACCATGCTCCCAGCTCCCAGGCAGACGCACGCAATGAAGCTCCGACCCAGGATGGACATAGGCTAGAATCTTCCCAGTAAGCGCACCTAGGGACGCTAAACAGATGATTAGAAATGGGCTAAATTAATATGTGAGAATTAGCCTAGAAGAGGCTAGATAGAAATGGGCCATGCCGTGATTAAATGAATACAGTTTGTGTGTTGTTATTTCGGGCATAAGCTAGCCAGGCAGCCGGGGTGCTGGGGACGCAGCCCCGCCGCCCTTATTACTACAGCTGTGAAACCAATAACAAACACAGATGAACAGATGAAATTTAATTACATAATATGTAATATAATTAATATATTTTCCACTTAACTCAAGAAGCATATACAGACTGAAGACTGGATACTGAGAAAGAGTTACCAAATTTGCTAATTATTAATACTTTGCACATGAATATACACATGGAGAAAGATCAGATACATGAATATTCATGTGGTAGGCCAAATTTGATTCACCCACCCTTTCCTGAGGCTTTTAGTGAGGTTCCCTTTTGTGCTTTCATAGATGATAAAGAGTTATGCATAAACCATATAAGACCCTGCAGCCTCACCTTACACTAAACACTAGGGCTTTCATCAACACCCCTCGGATTTACAGCGAATTTGGTTACTTTTTTGCATGTTTTTTTTTTTGTTTGTTTGTTTGTTTGTTTTTTGCTGTACCCTTCTCTCTAAAGCAGACCTGGGATGGAATGAGGAAAGGGGAGGATAAGGATTTAAACCACATACCAGGAAACATTTGATATTATAACAAAGACATTATCAACGGCAGCAACAAGCTTTGGCTTCGTGGTGGGGTCTTACTTCAGAGAAAATAAAATCTAGGCCTTACGTTTCCTTCTGCGGATCTCTTCATGTATTCATATTTGCCATGGTCCATTACATGGCGGCCTCTAGGGCAGCCTTTGCCAAGCCTTTGGCTTCCACCCAACCACTCAGCAATAGTCAGTCACCAGTTTCCACTGAACTGTTCTGTTGTAATGCACTGATGAAATAACTGTTTCTATGCCTAATTGAATAACATTATTTGGCTCTGGCACTAGGAAGGGAGGAAGGGAGAGAGGTAGTAAATCAATAATAATGGGCCTAACCTAGCCTATCCCAGAATTAACAAATGAAGAAACGACCTTAAAAATAATGTGACTCGGTTACTCAGCCCAGGCGTGTGAAATACACCACAGGCCATCCCTGGCCCTCACAGTCCCCAGCTGGCTGAAAACATCCACAGCCCGCACCCCCACCACCTTCCCCACCTCACCCCACCCCCGGTGCCACAGGGGATAGGGCAGGTAGGTGTCCTTATGATGAGCAAACATTAGGTGGAGAAATAAAAGGAAAGCAGAGTGGTCCATGTGCTGTGGAAAGAGGCAGAGCCGAAAAGGGAACGTGTTGAGAAGCAGGCTACTGTGGGCGGCCTGCTTGCCAATGCAGGCCAGGGTGACATTGGCCTTGGTCTGCTGCCAAGGGCCATGTCTGGGTCTGTGGTCCTACCGCAACTGGGGTCTGTGTTGACCTCCATGGTGTGTGTTACCACAGGGGACCATAGGAACCATTCATGTTGAAATCCAAGGGCCATCCTGAGCTGGCCCTGTCGCTCACTGGACACTGGAGCAGAAGAGCTGGTCCCACCCTTCATGGGAGAGCTGCCCCTGCATTCCCACACTCAGGAGAGATGGCCTCACCCCTCACCATGGGCATGGGAGAGCTGGTTTTGCCCCTCACCTGAGGCAGCTGTCCCAGCAGCCCAGACTGATCAGCTCAGCTACGAGCCAGGACCACATCCTGGGCCTTGGGTTGGCGCATCCTAACATTTACTCTGTTTCTGACCTAATGGAGCCTGTGAAGGGACTGGTTCTGCGGAACAATAGCTGCAGGATTTCCATGACCAGGGCAACAGCAGGATGTCCGAGAGGAGTTTCGGTGAGGGTCCAGTGGTGATGGTGTGTCAGAGACCTTGAACCAGACTAATGATTCGTTGCTATGAACATCCTGGGTGGGGCTGATTGGACAAAATGGTATGCTGTGTGATTCTCCACAGCTCCCATGCCACTGGGATGGGTGAAGAGGTGTTGAAGAGGCAGGAAGGACAGAGGAATGTGGAGGGATTTTGCTTGTCTTATCTAGTTTTTAATTAATTTGGGGGTTTCTCTTGGGGATGCTATAGGTGTGGAGGCAGACATGGGGGGACTAGTAGATGAGCAGATTTGGAATGCATGCTGTGATATTTCCAAAGAATTTTGTTATGAAAAATAATGTGATTTTGAATTTATGTATACTTGTAATAGTGGAATATATTCTAAAATCTAGTTCTGTTGATATCAGTTCAAGGCTCATCAAAAATCCCTTCCTCCCCACCATCCCACACACCCACTAAAATTTTGAATTTCCTTAGGAAAATCTGTGGCACCTAACTCCACTGACCTTCATAGTAGTAAAGTTTCTGATTCGGTCAAACTCAAACATGATCTCGATGTAGCCATTGGTAGCACTCTCATTCCGCCAACCCACGTAGTCATAGCCAGGCCACACGTGGTATTCGTGGGTCTGGGTAAAGTCATCCAGGCCGGATACCCCATCGGTCAACTGGCCTAGTCCTTCAGTCATGCTGCTCAGGACAACAGAAGAGGAGAGAACAGGGGAGCCCAGAGTTACTCACGCACCCACAGAAGAACTCTCCACCCCACTACTTCACCACTGGATTTTACAAGAGACGATAGATAATGTTAGAGATGCAAGGATTTGGAGAAAGCAATCATTTTATACTTGTGACTTCTTTTTCTATATCGTGTAGTCCATGATACTTTGATAATAGTAAATCATTATATCAAGACATCATCTTCAGCTGATAAGCGTAGGCAAGAACACAGTGCATAACAGAAGTTTTTTATATAAACTAATGAGCCAGCTCTTAAAAGGTTTGCTGTCCATGTAGCAAACATTGACTATTGTATAACATTTGCTTATGTGAAATTTGACCTCTCCACTGATTCAAGGGAATAGATCATTAGGACAGTATTAATTTGATTGGATACTTATAATCCCCCAAATGACTATTTCTTCCTTTTCTTGTTTCTAAGATTGTCATTATGGCCTTGGCTATTCATTTTACCTGGTGGGATCTGGGATTTAAAAATCTACCTCACTAATTTCTCATTAGACTCAAATCTAATCTTTGCCACCTGCCTGGTGGATCTACCTAAAGCACAACTCCAATCATGTCCTTCCCCAACCTTAGGACTCTTCAATGAATCATTGTATTGATGACGCTAAGAAGAAAAAAACCCTCTTCCTATCCATCCTCCCTCTTCTTGATCTCCTTCTTACTAGTCCTGGTCCGGGCATTCAAGTTCCCACCACCACCAAGAACATTGCCACGCTGCACCTTCTCCTGCCGATGAACTGTGAACTAAAATAAAGCCTTCTTCCCCAAGGTGTTTATCGTCCGGTATTTGGACACAGCAGTGAAAAAAGTAACTAATACATAGAGTAATCAATCTTCTTATGTTGCCGCTGTCCCAAACTATGAATGCCCCAAAAGCAAGACCCATTTCCATTTTCTTTGAATATCTACAACACCTAGGCAACTTCTTCATACATCATAAGAACTGACTAGCAAAGTTTGGTTGGATTGGATTCAACTGATGTCTCATTTCCCCTGTGCCTTGACTCTACGCTAGTTAGGGTGTGGCTGATGATGTCAAGATGCTTCAAGAGAGTGGAGCAGAAGTGAATGACTAAGTAGATGGATATAAGTAGGAACAGATGACTGCATTAATCAGGACTTCCCCAGGGACTATCAGCTGAGGGTGATAGTTCATTCTCCACACCTAAGCTAGTAGAATGGCTGTAATTTTACAATATGCTTCCTGAGATGCACTAACATTTCTTTCTCATGCCCTAGAAACTTCTATTGTCTGCTCTGAACTTCACAATAGTCTGACCTCTCTTCCAGGCTTAGTCCTTGCTGATAAAGACTGAACTAAGAAAGAACAGTGTTAGGAATGGGCCAGAAGATTATAATGAGGGATTAGAATGGATAGGCACATGTCTTACCCAGCTCTAAACCCCCATGTGTCTAGTGATATTTTTCTGCCCCAGCTCTCCATCCATCCACTTCAGGCTTCTCTGCTGCTCCCAGCTCCATCTCTTGCCATAATCAGACCAATATCATCCTCTACTGTTTCCTCTGCACCCTTCTACCTACCTTTCCCTGCCTCCATTACCAGCTCATCCTGAAAGCCTTTCTTATGTATTATAAACCCTAATAGAATAGTTTTTCTTCTCACAGTTTCTAAAGTATTGTATCTATGGAGTCCATTGTTTCTTAACTCTTTGACTTATTACTTTATCTCTAACTAAATCAGCTTTTATTTGGAACATACATCCTTATTTCTGGGTCAAAAAATATCACTCCCACATTTATAGCCATATCACAAAGTTTAGCTCTTGCTTGTGCAATTTCTTCCTGTCTACTGTATTATTATTATTATTATTATTATTATTATTATTATTATTATGCTTTGCAAAAGCAAGCTACAAATTGGAGATGCAAGTACCTTGCAGCTTGCCCCATCTCAGCTGTCTCACAGTGCATCCCTCATGGACATAATACTGGTGGGTTCACTGATTCGTTGATTACTGACTATATCACAATAATTTTTTGTTATGGCCATTTTCCCCATTCGTGTGACTGTTTCAGTCTTCTGGACTTTACCTGTAGCCAACAGCTCCATCATAGACAGAGTCATTCAGATAAATGATGGAGCCTCCAGGGAGTACAAACTGCTGCCCAACTGGAGCATTGTAAGACACCAAGCCATCTGTCAAAGGAAAGGCAGTTGTCAGTGTCTCTGGTAAGGAGATGTGCCTGCCACTTGACCAGGTGCCCTAAGAAGCTACTTGAGCTTCCAGGGGTGCACAATCTTATGCATCATGTCCACTGGGGCTCAGTTTGGGTTCATAGTTGAGCACTGTTAGAAGCCCACCTCAGTGGCAGTTACCTGAGTAATTCCAAATGCGTCATTCCAGGCACCAGGGCACCAAACCCTGGCTGGATGTGCATGCCTTATTTTTCTCTCTTAACCAAGGGGGAATCATTTCATTCCAAGGGTGAATGACTCCATCTCTTTCTGAGTTGATGGCTGGTCTTCAGTTCCCAGGCCTTAGGAGTTTTCATATGGGACATACGATCCCTTCGGTAGATTCTTACCTAGCCAGACACAACCATAAAGCTCAACCCTCATGCACACATTCATGGAGTGGTCGGTGACTGGGATAAGGCGGACAAATCTGGCGACAATGGGCGGCTCCAAGTCCTTCAGGAAAACATCGTAAGGGTTACTGTTCCCGTCTAGCACCTGGGAGAGAGAGGAAATAGCAGAGGTGGCTTAAATCCACGCTCGTCTTTCTTTACCCATCATGCATTTGATGGAGCCTTCGCTTTTTACTCACGGAAAGTATAATTACTCAGCTCTCCCAGCGGAGCGAATAGACCCTCTGTGCCATCTCCTGCACTTTGGTCACATTTACAGTGGCATGTCAGGTTTCAACATACACATAACTGAGCACATAGTCCATTTGAGTGGTTCTATTATAACTAAACATATGTTCCCTCAGAAGGTGGGCATTTTCTTCTTACCTGCTCCCCATGCCGGTTGCGCCAGGAGATCCAGCGAGTGCCATCTCGACTGTAGTTGATCTTGTACATGGGCGCAAACTCGATGCCATGACCCCCTGCGTGGCGCCCCTGGGTCCCCACAAGAGTGATAAAGTGCAGGGTACGTAAGTCAATCTGCAGAAATTCTTTCAGGTCATCAGGTTGCACGGGGATCTCGGGGCACCAGGCTCCGTCTCCTTCTTCAGAGTCAAGCCTTGAGCAGGAAGGGTAGGCAAACAGAACAGCTGTGGAATAAGCGTCAGTCACCAGCTCATAGCGAGCGGCTGTCCTGTGCCCGAGGAGCGAACGGGAAGTGGCAATCTAGTCCAGCGGGACTTTGAGGACCTCCCCATGTGTCTCTCTATCCTAACCATTCCCATTTGTGGTCAGTTTCCTGTCTCTAAAGCACCACTCAACCCAGGGATTGTCACCACGAGGGAGCTGGGGGCTTCCAAAACACATGTAACCTTTAGAGTTTAGAGAACTCTTGGGAAATGAAACTCTTGCCACCCCTGTTCCTTTATGGAATTCTTTCACCATCCCCCTTCCAATTATCCGCCTCAACCTCACAAAGCTGGCCGTTCGTGGTCTGAGTATCAAGTTAAGGGAGTGAGGAGGGAGGAACGGAAGGGTCTCCGGTGTGGGCTATGCAACGCAGTGGAATGCTGGGCAGCAGAATGGGCCTGACCACCCAGCAAAAGCCATGGGAACCGTGGTGAAGGTGAGCGTGAGGGCAGAAAGCATGCAAATGGAGTGGCAAATAACCTGGTTTCATTTATTACCAGGCTGGGCTAGCACTGAACATGGTTGTGAAATCACTGTAAGGTTTATTTGGGAACCTCTTAGCATTTTTCCTCTTCCTGGGGGGGGGCTTCCTTTCCTCACAGATGCTACCCACTCATTCTTGCTTCTTCCTAACTCCTCCAGCCATCACCCCAGTCACTCAGATACTAAGATAAATATGACGGGAAAGGCCTACGAAGATTGATTTCCTTGTGGGTGAATCCATTTTAAGAAAATCAGTACAAAATTGACACCAAAATAATTATCAGGAAGAGTAGGCATTGGCCAGCAGAATTGTTTCTGAGTTGGGAGTCTGTTCATTTAGGGAACCTTGGGAAATACATACACCACACAGAATATGCTCTGTTTATGGTTGAGGATGGCCCTTCTGTGTGAGGTTTCCTTGAGGGAGCAAAGAACTTACTGGAAACATCAGTGTCTGGTTTAACTGTAAAAGTCTTGCACAGTCACATTCCAGGTGCCTCTTGAGAAGCCCGCTCCCTCATGGCCAGTGTCCTACATAATCTACATCTCCCGGGACCTTCAGCCTTGGCCTTTCTCCTGCAGCAGCCCGCAGTGAGGTCAGGAAAAGCAAATCCACTGCCTATCAATGACCCCATTCACAGTGGGTGGCGGGGCTCTGAGGCTGCTGTGGTTAGGAAGAGGCTTCCAGGCCAGCAACTAAGCCAAGGCCTGGCCTCCCTCTGAAACACTCCGAGCAGCACAAGCCCCTCACGTCTCTCTTCTGATCTCACGAGTGCTCACTAGCACCATCCCTCAAGCCATGGCTGTGTGTCCATTTCCCCCAGCATTCAGGCTCTGATGGAGCCATCCTCACCTCCCGTATCTGGCAGCCGTGGATTCTGACCACTGACTTGAAGCTGTGATGTCCTCGTCTGGAATGTGGCCTCCTGACATGCCCAGAGGATAGCGACATGAAGCTGGACAAAAGAAACAAAGAGAACACAGAGAATATGCTTCCATTTTTATGCCAGAGCCCCCAGGAAGGCTGAAACTAGTAACAGGGTAGGAAGTAGAAACACTGAAATCTTCCTCCATCTCTCTATGACCCCACTTCGGACACTCTGTGCTACAGAACTTCTTCCTGACTCTGATTCAAATACTTTTTATACCTCCAAAATCTAATCAACAGCCAGGCTTATATTTTGGCTCAGACTCTGGCAACTAATATGATATAATTTAATATGAATGTTCTTATTTTATTGAGTAATAACTCCAGTAGCCCATCTTTAGTTCCTTAATAGCAGATTTGCATATTGAATCAATTTCCTACAAGTACTAGATTCCTTGTAGCCATCAGATACCCCTAAGATCCACAGCACTCTGGCTTTCTGGGGCGCCGACTGTATGAGATTATGAAACAAACCCATGAACTGCCCCTATGTTTGTACTGAGTAGTCTGGGCCCTGACTTAAAACAATAGTTTTAGGGGTGGGCTTCACTTTCAACAAAGAGAATAAAAGGAAACATATGTAATTCCCTGTGGAAAATAACACAGCTTTCACACAATGAGGACCAGATGAAAGGACCACCATTTCTGAGTGTTGGTAAGCAAGGAAGGGCCCAACAGATGAGCTGGCTACTGCCCTGGCAGCGCCCACTTACAGCAGGGGGTGAGAACGCACCGTGAGAACTTCCTGACTTAGAAAGATGAAGCAAGTAATATTTGAATACTTTGAAATCACTGTGTTCTACACAGTGGAACACAATAGAAAATGACGAGGCATATAAAGCAGGAGAAAGGAACCATCATGAGGAGGGAAGAGAAAGAACTGATTTTCAACAGTATTTTTCCCGAAAGATTTTTTTTAATCATAAGATTCATATGAAACCACAAATGGCCTTGTAAAAACTAGAGCATTCTTACAAAAGAACAGACCTGGACATGTTAGAAATAGAGATTTCAAAACATATCCCAAAGCTATAATAATTAAAATAGCCTGCTGAATATATATAAGTAATCTCACACATATAAGGTCAACTGGTCTTCAACACAGGTACCAAAAAGTTGTATGGGGGAGGGGGAGAATAGCAAACCAATGTGTTGGGAAATTTGCACATCCACATGCCCAAGAGTGAAATTGACCCTTACACTATACATAAAAAACCACACACGGGGGTTTGTTAGACTGGCTTACAGGATCAAAGGCAGAGCGGTTCCTCAATGACCGTCTTCAGACAGCAGAGGAAAGGGAACTAGCGGCTGCTCAGTGTAAGTCTCAGGACATTAAAGCCTTGGAAGAAGAGCCTAGAGGTGCGGCTCCCATCAGAGGCTGAAGGCCTGGAAGCCCCTTTGCGTCCAAAGCCTGAATAACCTGATGTCTGCTCTCAACAACTGACAACAAAAAAGGACAGCTGCCCAAGAAAGGCAAAGTCAAACTGAGAGCAAGAGCTAGTTCCACCTTTGCTTTATCTGTTCCATTTGGCCCTCTGCCTGTTGCAAGATGTGGCCTACATTTGAAGATCTTAGATCTTAACTCTAGCATATCTGAAGCTCAATCCAAGAACTACATGTTGATAGAGATCCAGAGTTAGTCTTCTGTGGGATTGGGCTCAGAGCTCTGCTCCCAGATCCCATCCCTCCTGGACAGAGAACAATGCTAGAGGCCCTGCTGGCAGCCACAGAATAGAGCATCCCCACTCAGTAAGCGCTCAGTCCCATCCATCATACATCTCCAGATGCTGGGCTGTACACACCATGAGAATCTGCGCTCTGGGATGTGTGAGGTAAGCCAGACATTGGGAAAGAAGAGCCAACAAGGTGAGTCATGAAATAAATAACTTCCCACCATGGGGAATGCTGGTCCTTGGGACAATAACCAAGACATTTTATGCTGCCACTGCCTCTACAACATGTCTCAGTAGGACTGCATTTCCTGGAAATCCTTTTTATGTCATCTCCTAATTGACTCCATGCAGGAATTTTCCCCTATTGAACGGATAAAGAAAATGAAGTAACAGAGATCTGAAGTATGTCTGAGAGGCAGATGGGGGAGCATCGAGAAAGACCACATAGGATTCTCGGCTGTGAGTCGTCAGAGGACCGCTGAGTCCTTCCCAGAGGCTTACAGACAAAATCCTGGGGATTCAGCCAAGGGAAACCTTGAGTCACAATGTGCACACGGACAGCAAATAGAACAGCTTCCCTGTAAGTCTGACCATCGCTTACCTTACGGCAATCTATCTGTTCATGTGTTAACGAGTGTCCTTGTATCTAGATAGCTGCTCAGTAGTGAATAAGATACAGAAAAGCGTTTCTCTCATAGACCTCCCTTCTGGTCCAGGGGACAAAGGGAAGATGAAAGTGTTCAGAAATCAAATGGATACAAGTTGCTTGCCTACTTGACAATGGCTATTACCGTCTCTGACTCTGACGAAGCTATCAAAAATACTAAAATTTGGTGTCGGGATAAACCTGACAGAGATTCTTTTAAGAAATAACTTTCATCATGGATTTTTCTATGGCCCTTACACCTCTGGGTCTCCTTGTTGAGATTTAGTGATCATGGTATGTTCCTTGACCCTTTCAACACCTGCCAATGCACAGCACTGCTCAGGTGTTCAACAGATACTGGGCAAACAGGTAGGCATGAAAAGGTGGAGAGACAGGTAGATGGATGGAAGGACGAAGGCCTGGATGGAAAAATGGAGAGTGAACTGCAATTAGATCTTGGAGGGCAGTGGAGGAGTAATTTTGGGCTCAGAATCTCCCAAGTGAGTCACCATCTGTGGAGTTCAACAAGGTTTTGTGATGCAGCAGCCTCTGGGCAGGCAGGGTCAAAGTTCATCAGAGGGGGTGAACTACCGGAAGGAGAGGAAGAAAAGCCATATAGCACAGGTCTTAGTCAGTGCTACTGGATAATGAGTCACCAAGATCTACTAGGAAGATTTTCTGGAGTTTTCTTGAGGGTCCAGGGACTACAAATAGACCTGAGGGATGGCAGGAATCCTCTTCTGTGCTGAGATGTGAACCTTCAGATCAGTGCCAGAGCACTGATTTATATATATATATATTATAAAAGTTTTATATTTATTTTATATTTAAACTTTATTTAAATTTATTTATTTATTTAAATATATTTATTTATATTTATGTTTATTTTATATTTAAACTTTTATATTATATATATGTAAAAGTTTAACTTAGAAATTAAGCATAGCAAGAGATAAATAGTAATTAATATTAAAATAGAACAATTATGATATTCCATGGTAAAATTATATGAATGAAGCTGTCTCACATCATTTTTAAAATGTTAATTTTGATAACGCATACATGTCTGTGTGCACACACGTGTACGCAGGTACATGGACTCATATGCACTGGGGTCTGAAAGGGGTAGTTAATCCCTCTGAGCTATAGCTACAGACAGCTGTGGGATGCCCTGCTTGCTTTATGAGTTCTGGGATCTGAACAGAGATCTTCCTGAGGCACAGCAAGGTCTCTGAACCTCTGAGCCATCTCTCCACACTCTCTCCCACCTTCCCGAACTGCACTCACTACTCTCAAGATGAGGCAGTGCTTTATATAAGGAGATGGAGTGAGGGAAGCGACAGACGACAGACGCTGGGTGTGAAGGAGGGAGAGGAGTTGGGATTTCATCATGTGAGTCCCAATCACTACATTTAAAATTTGTGAATAAGTTCAGACTGTCCATCTTGCATTTTCACACTATGATTGGCTACAGAAAACTGAGACCAAGGAAATCAAAACCACTAATAAGGAGGAACTAAGGTTCAACCTCAGGCAATGAGAGTTAGGCTAGGGATCTAGAAATCAGGACCAAAGAACATAAGGTTGACAACAGGGAATTCAGAGACAAACGCTAGTAAAGTAGCAATGTAACATGCAAGCAGGATTTCTCTGTGACTCAGTGTTACCAGGGGCCCCACAGGAAGGGCAGAGGAAAAGGACAAGCTGATCTTGGATGGCCTTTCTCATCCCACTGGGTCTTTGGAACCAGAAGAAGTCTTGGCCCAGGGAACCCAACGTGGCACTTCTCCGCAGCCCCACTGTGGTTTTCCTATTGAACGTGCCTATTTTGAGTAACTGGTGGAAGGGATCCCAGCTACTAGGGAAGACTCAGACTGCAACACTGGCTCCAGCTCTCGACGTCAGACCCCTTCCTTACTCCCATGCCTCTCTCACCAGATCCCACTCCCTGTTCACTCCATATCTTGAGATGTAAAGAAACACGTAACTAAGGAGGGCGGCCTGTCACCGGAAGCAAGAGTCACTGCTACAGCAAAGAGTTTGCTTGCTGAGTTGTCTTGGTGGTTTCCGGGTGCTTCTGCTACCCACCAATGTCCTGACAGAGACGCCGACGGACTCTTCCGGTTTCCCTGAGTGGAAAACTACCAGCATCAGCTGCAGTAGGTCCCGCTGAGAACTCTGTCCATCCCAAGCTCCTGTAAGGATTGGCAGGCAGGCTAAGGAGAAGCAGCTGCCACCAGGCCCCAGCTTCCCAAGAATTACTTTTCAGACTCTCCTGCCAAGGCTGTGAGCCTGAAAGCATTGCTTGTTCCAAGATGTTTACCGCCCCATGGCCAGCTCCAGCCCATGGGCTCCCCGTCAATGAGTATCCTATATGCAGCTTCCAGGAAAACAGCACACGAAAGGTTTGAACACAGAGGTATGACCCCTGGCTCTCTCCAAGCACACATACTTGACAAAGAGAGATTATCAGGGTCGGAGGTGGGGCAAACCAGTCTGTGGTCTAAAGAAACATGAGTAACTGAAAAACGTTAGCGTCAGGAAGAAATCTTAACTTATTGAACCCTAGACCTCTATATTGGATATAAGAACTTGTGAGTCTTCAAATGGTGACCGGAGTTGCTCAGAGACTTGCAGACGACCAGAGCAATGGTAACAGAAACCCAGGGTTCTTAGCTGTGGTCCTTCTCAGACCTCCTCCATCTA